CGAGAATAATAAGGTTGTCTTTTTATAGCTCAATAGTTTGAAAATTGATGGGACAAAAAAAGCTTCAAATTTGGTAAATTTACACTCAAATGACATTCCTTTCACACTTTTTGTTGTTATTTTTTACTCATAATTAACAAATTAAGAGTTGGTGATTTTGACAATATGATCCATTTGATTTGAATTTGGTTACATGAATGTTCTAAAATGAAATTGACTCAACAACCCACCTTTCATATAACAATTTTTTCAATAACTAACCACCAAAATCTGCCAAACCCACAATCTCCTTGTTGTTGAATGTTTGAAGAAACCCGAGACTAGATTTAGCCATTTTTTATTCTAACGAGTATCATAAGTCGTTGACATTTGAGTCAAAAAGGGTTATGTATGAATGAACGAATATCACATCGGAACGAGACTGATTATGAGAATATGAAATTATTATTCAGAAAAGCTTAAAATAATTGATAGTTACGGCTTATATCAACATCATTCATGTTTCTTTGTTATGGTTCAAGCATAAGGACTCTGAAGGTAACCGTACTTACTTGAAGTCAGTCTAAAATTTTTTCTTATGAGTGAGAACAAAACGTGGTATAAAACATATTTATTGGTCTTTTGAAGTTATGACCCGGCTCTCGTTAAGTGTGTCTTTGATACCATTGACAACATCGTTACATGTAATCTTGCTTATATCTTAGCTTTTCAATGATGCACGCTCTTCTTGATGTGTTAGATGATGAACGATAGCCGAGCCATTTCTTTACCGAAAGTTAGAGGCAAAAAGAAGATCAAAAAGAGAGAAAAGAGGCTGAATGTGGAGTAATTTGTAATGATATATCTATGACCCTTTTACAAGTGGGGTGTTGGGGATGATGATCTAATGGACCATCAATGCCACAAACTTGCTTTTATTATAAAATTACGGGTTGTAATTATGATCGAGATCGATTTTTGAACGTGGGTTTGTTCGGTTTTCACTTTTTCGTTAACTCGAGTCTTCAAGGCAAATACATTGCAGTGACCTCGAGCAATACACTTTTTCAATCATAAGTTATGTTATAATAATAGATTGTGAGATCCTACATCGATTGGAGATAATAACAAACTTACGAGACACTGTCCCAAAAGAGGTAGATTTTGAGATCCCAAATCGGTTGGGAAGGAGAACGAAACATTTTTTATAAGAGTGTAAAAACCTCTCCCTAATATATAGGTTTTAAAAACTTTGAGGAAAACTCGAAATAAAAAGTTAAAACAGAACAATATGTCTATAAGCGTGGATTTAGGCTATTGCACGGTGAGAGAACGAAGATCGAACCGACTAGATGTAATATTTAATTTTATTAACAGTAGATTTGAGCCGTTATAGGGTGAAAAGATCGAAGATCGAACCATTAAGTAAATTTATTGGAAGTAGAAAACAAACACTCATATTGTTTAAACGATTATTCAAGCAGCGTTAACGGCGATCTTCATTCCACTTTGGCAGTGGCCTGGGAGACTGCAAATGAAGTAGTTTTGTCCCTTCACAAGCTTGATCTGATCCTTTCCTGTTCCAAAAACTTTGGAGCCCCTTGGAGCCACGCACCCACTGTACCCCGCTCTGCTCACAGCCACCACATTGTGTGCCGCAGGGCTGTAGTTGAACACTGCATAAAACTTAACATTAGACAACAAGTACGTGTCAATTATTAGGGAGTTAAGCTAAGCGAGCTTACCAAAGGTATCCCCGGCACGAAAGCGCTTCCCCTTAGGCCAGGACGCGACATTAAAGCTCCAGCCTTGAGCACCGCCGACAGTGTAAACAGCTGCACGAGCCATCGCTGAGAATTGGAGCACCAACAAGCACACTATCAATGCACCCACCACTGCACTGCCTCTTCCCTGAGCCATTGGTTCGAATTTCTAAGCTAAAGGGCTCAAAATAGAGGTGGTGATGGTGAGGAAATGGATGAGAAGGGGAGGCTTTTATAAATGGGGAGTTGGGTTAACTTTATGTTATAAAATCATGATGAAGACGAAAAAAATGAACGTGGGTTTGGTACGTTTTCATTTCCATATTGATTTTTAACTACTTAGGTCCCCTCTCATTATTTCGCGTAACAGACATGGGATCTTACAATCCACTCGTTTTGAAAGCCAGCAACTTGCTCACACACTGCTAGTTGTTTGTCTCCACTGTTTACTGTTGTTTGCTTTGACCCGTAATATATTGATGTGATTCATCCGTCCATCTAGTCTTTTCAGCCCTCTATTTTTTTTAATATATTTAAATGTAATGAAAAATTAGACTAAAATATACTCCGACACCGAAAATAATGTAGTTTCCACTGCTAGGAATTTGTCCAAATTCATATGGGTTGTATTCGTAGCCCAAATTCTTGAAAAAAAATACAACGTAAATAAATTGTATGTAAATACTAAATCTCAAAAAATGTAGGTAAATTGTTTATAGTAAGAGTGTACATTCGACCCGACAACCCGACAACTCGGACCAACTCAACCCGAACTATAAGGGTTGTGTTGGGTTGGATTAGCATTTTGGGTAGGGTTGAGTTCATTTTTTTTTAAACACAAATTGAATCGGTTCAATTTTGGGTTCGTGAGCAAAACCTTCGAGTTGACCCGAGTCAAATTTAAATATATAAAATATATTAAAAATCTTTTTTTATAATGGATTTGGAAGGTACTTTGTACCGCTAATAAACTCACGCTTCTTTAATATATATATATTTATGTTCATTGTTATATACAATATCTTTAAACTAATTATTTTTATTGTTTATTTTGAAGAAAGGCATTATTTAGCAATTAATTGTTTTTATTGTTTATTTAATTTCATGATATATCCTTATATTTTTTCCTATTTTAACCAATTTTCAAGAAATGCCCGATGTTTTTAGTTTTATGACAATATTGAACCATGTTAATATGTTAGGTATTTATCAGTTTAGTTTTATGACAATGTTGAACTATGTTAAATTTTTTTTTTTTTTTTTGTGAATAATTATGAATTTTGTGAACTTCTAATATATTTTATCTAACATTATATAATATTTTAGGTATTTAGCGGTTTATTCTTATGACAATGTTGAACTATGTTAATATGTTACAATTTTCGCTCATTGTTTTTTTATGAATAATTATGGATTGATTTGTGTTTGTTCGTGAACTTCTAATATATTTTATCTAACATTGTATCCGACTCATTATAAATTGTGGATAAATAAAACTTTAAAAAAAAAAATTGACAACCCAACCCGAAAATAGAGAGTTGGGTTGGGTCATAAAAAGTTTCGGGTTGGGTTGGGTTATCGATCCAACCAACCCGTAAAAAAAAATCGTTAAACCCAACCCAACCCGGACCAACCTGGACCATGTACGCCGATATTATTTATTTTCAATAAATAAATAAATATCTAATTATATAAATCAATATTACACATGAATAAGGAAATAATAAAATTAGTTTCTTCTATATTATAAAACTAAATTATGTTATATTTTATAACTAATTTTATTTATATATATTATAGATTTTATGTTCTATATGCTATATTATAAAATAAATATATAATTTTATTTTTAATCGCTTTGTTAAAAATAATAATTTTAGATAAAATAATCTTTTAGTCAGTTATTTTTTAAATTAATCTGGATTTAAATTCTTAAAAATATAATTTTTAAAAATTTTAAATAAAAGAAATATTGCCCAATAAAAAAAACCCTTAAATATTAACGGCAAGATTTTTTTGTGTTATTTAAATATCGAACTATTTCATCGATTTTGTTAATTAATTACATCCAAACTATTTTCATCTTTCTCTCGCTACATTCAATGGATCCTAAATTCTTGACTTACAACGGCGTCGTGCTTCGAAGGTCTGACGTACGCAGTTTAGAAGATTGTAACTATTTGAACGATGCCATCATCGATTTCTATTTTGCCTACTTGTTCGAGTCATATCAATCAGACGACATACTGTTAGTACCGACGAGTATCTCTTTTTTGTTGGGCAACGCTCCTGACTGGGATACTTTCATAGCCACGGTGGAATCTCTGAACTTTCATGAAAAGAAACTCATCTTCTTCACTGTCAACGACAACTCCAATTTCTCCTCTTCTGGCGGGTCTCATTGGAGTTTACTTGTGTACTGCAGAAAGCGAAATTTATTCATGCATTACGATAGCCTTCACATGATGAATAATGAATCTGCATTTGCCATTTACGAATCTGTTAATAGTTATATCAGTTATGATTCAGCTGAGTTCATGGAATGCCGAGCGCCTCGACAAAGGAACGGATATGATTGTGGATTGTATGTGATGGAAATTGCAAGAGTGATTTATGAGCGCTATTTCAACTTTGATCAATTTCAAAATGAGGATGAAATTTGTGGGTCGTTTAACGTCGTCCAAAGGGTGAATTGTAAACATGTTGAGTCCAATATGCGGTCTGAAATGTTGCAGCTTATTCTAGGATTGAATCAATAAACATATATTTTTTTTGTCTGAAATGATGCAGCTTATTCTACGATTGAATCAATAAAGATATTTTTTTTCAATTACAGTAATTTTGTTTATTATTGTATTTAAATATACTAATTTTTTTTTAATAAATTTCAATACATATTTTTTTAAATAAAAAATTGCTAAAAATATAATTCAAAATCTATAATTATTGTTAGAAAATACCAAAAAAATTGAAATATCCCAATTTAAAATATATAAAATTGGTTAGAAATATAATGATGTACAATTTGCAAATATAATTCAAAATTTTTATAATTTAAAATACTATATTTATTAATATAATAATACAAAAAAATATAGATATAATTTTAATATGAAGCAAATAATGCAAATTCATGAAAGATTTTGTTCAAGAACATAAAATTCATGCGACAAGATAATCTCCATTATAATCTTCTAAAACTAAATTTTTTAATCTTGATTATAATTTTATCTTGATTAATTCCTAATTGATTTATGAACAGATGAACAGAGCATAAATATCACTCTTGCATCGTTGAAGCGTCGTTCTAAAAAGAATCTCCGGAACATAGCGGTGATTGACAAATTCTTACAGGGTTTCTCTGGTTTGCCGCTATCTTTCACAATCAACCTCGAAATTGAAGTTTGCTATTTTCTCCCTTTGACTTATTATCATAAACCCTTGATTGTTCATCTTCAATTCTGTCAATTTTTTTATCAAAACTACAGGATTCTCTATGTTCTTCGTGTAGATGGCTTCGACCCTTTTGAGTAAAACCCTTTTGGTTAATCGATTCATTCATTCTTTCTCCTCTCCGTCTGGCAACACCCAGATTTTTACTTCCGTTTTCTGTGTAAGTCAAGTTGTTTGTTTATTTTGAATTTTTTCTATTTGGGGTTTTGTATTTGCTCTTATTATTATTATTATTGTTCTTGTACTGTAGAAGAAATTGTTTCAGTTTCAAGCTAACTCAACCAATGTAGCATATAATCCCACTCGGCGATTCTCTTCTTTCATGGCTTCCTCTGTATCCACGCATAGAGCTCAATTTTCGTCGAAATCCTTCACCACTGATGATCCTGTTGTTTCCCCTGACTGGCTCCATTCTAATCTCAAACAGCCTGACTTGAAGGTCCGCTCGTGTTGGTTTTAACTTCAATTATGCTAATTGTAGTGCATTAGTTTTGATTTAGTTCTTTATAGATTTGTGATATTTCCTTGATTTTTATCCAGTTTTGCACATTCGGTTTGTATAGTTTAATATGTATGTTAGTCGAGTATTTAAAGTATTTGACATTATTAGAAATATGGGTATGGGAATTTGAACTTCGAACCTCGAGGGAAGAATTACATGTTGATTATTGTTGAGCTATGCTTACTTTAACAGTTTACCTCGACTATTCACCGTTTTCGTTATTTATATGCGCTTAAAACCTGCAATATCTATGCTTCTGTCTGTTCCCAATACTTGGATGTTTTCGGAATTGGGTTTGTTTGCTTATGTTTTTCTAAGAATGTTCTTGTTCATTGCTTATTAATATGATCTTGATCTTGATTAGACAAATTGTGAGTTGTAAGTTTGGTAGCTTTGTGTTTTGTATTTCTGAAACTGTTCTACCTTTTAAACTGCTCGATTTTCAGGTTTTAGATGCATCTTGGTACATGCCAGATGAACAGAGGAACCCTATTCAGGAATACCAGGTAGTTAATTAGGTTAATGTTTTGTGAACTACATTTTATATTATGTGGTGAAGTTTCAGTAGTGTGGTTATGATTGTTACAGGTGGCTCACATCCCTGGTGCTCTTTTCTTCGATGTAGATGGAGTATCTGATCGAACTTCGAAGGTGAAACGATCTCCTTTCGTTTTTTACCCTTCAATATATCGTCGTTATATTTCGTCGTCTTGTTTCAGTTGCCACATATGTTGCCATCAGAGGAAGCTTTTGCTGCTGTGGTCTCTGCTCTTGGCATTGACAACAAAGATGGTGTGGTTGTTTATGATGGCAAAGGACTTTTTAGTGCGGCTCGTGTCTGGTGGTAAGATGCAGAAATAAACAATTAACTTTGAAGAGATTATGTGTAACAGCTCAGGCCCACTGTGCGGTGTGCCAGCGAGAACGCTGGGCCCCCCAAGGGGGGTGGATTGTGAGATCCCACATTGGTTGGAGAGGGGAGCGAAGCATTCCTTTTAAGGGTGTGGAAACCTCTCCCTAGTAGACGCGTCTTAAAACCTTGAGGGGAAGCCCAAAAGGAAAAGTCCAAAGAAGACAATATCTGCTAGCGGTGGGCTGTTTATGATATTATGTTTATGATATTGTATGTGAATTGAAGAAATAAATTTTGGTACTTGAAAATAGGATGTTCAGAGTATTTGGGCACGACAGAATTTGGGTGCTAGATGGAGGATTGCCGAAATGGCGTACGTTAGGATATGATGTTGAATCCAGTGCATCTGGTGATGCTATTTTGAAAGCTACTGCTGCAAGTGAGGCAATAGAGAGAATTTATCAGGGGCTAGCTGTAAGTTCGTAATTTCATATGTTTTGTCCTATATTATATCTCTGAATCTTCGAGTTACTAGCCAAAATGGCATGCATTTTATTCTCGTTTTCAATTTTTTCTGGTATTGTTATTTTTCCACTTGTAACATCGTTGTGCATAGGTTTCACGGTGCTCGGTTTGTTTTCTCAGGTCGGGCCAATTACATTTCAGACCAAGTTTCAGCCACATCTGGTCTGGGACCTCGAGAAGGTCAGGGTATTCATTACAAAGCTGTTAGTGTATTAGTGTTTAAGGATTCTTAATCATTGAAATTCGAGTAGATGTATGAACTTGTCGTTCATAGGGGCATATATTAAGACTCTTTTGACAAAGGCAGTTTATATTTACATTGCTGATTATTGGTATCTGTTTGGCCCTGCAAAGGTACTCGATTTTAAAATTATCATAGCGTTCGATTTCCAGCTGGGCAAGTTTTTAAGGATCTTTGAGTGCTAGTATGCATATAAATAGTCGAATGTAGTGCGAGTGTGTGCAAATAATCAATATAACTGTGTCGTAGAGGCATTTTAGATGGGAACGAGCCTTTATATGTTATTTTCTCGATTACGTGTTCCAGATTCAAGAGAATATTGCAGGAAGAACTCACCAACACATAGATGCTCGTTCAAAGGGCAGGTACTGTAGATTTGGTAAAATATTTGCTTTTGAATTAGGAATATTTCCTTTATGTCCTTGAATTAAGTTTTCATTTCTTTTGCAGATTTGATGGGACTGTCCCAGAACCTCGGAAAGGAATCAGAAGTGGCCATGTTCCTGGCAGCAAGTGTATTCCTTTTGCCCAGGTTTGTATCAATATTAGCTCATTATGTTTGTAGTTTATGGTTAGAATTTGAAACAGTTTTCATTTCGAACCGACTCTTTTTTCCTGGAGTTCAGATTTGGTTGTTCATATCGAAAATTTCAATCTGGTCCAAGTGTTTCATAGTATTAGTGGCACACTACCCTTCATTGGTCTGTTTGAATTCTGATTTTTTCGAGATCGTATATTCATAAGCTTCTATTTCTTATAACTGACGAAATATGATTCTGTGAAGTATCTAGCTGGAAATGAATAGATGTGTTTTTAAGGGTATAGCGGGTACTACCATTAGGACCGTTCGTGTGATTAACATTTATTTAAGGGAAGAGCGGGTACTACCATTAGGACATTTCGTGTGATTATCATTTATTTAAGGGTATAGCAGGTACTACCAAAGACAAAAATGTAATGCCACCAAACCAATTGATATTTTCAGATGCTGGATAGTTCGCAGTCACTTTTACCCGCAGATCAGCTCAAGAAACGATTCGAACAAGAAGGTAAGAAACGATGAATGAAAAGGCGTTCTTCAAGGGTATCGGGGTCCCAAAACTGTTTAATATATGTGGATCCATGTTTTTTCAGGCATCTCTTTGGATAGCCCTGTTGTAACTTCTTGTGGCACTGGTGTTACTGCCTGCATTCTTGCATTGGTAAGTCCCTTGCTATTCACAATCTAAATGTTTGAACGATTTAAGAGGCTTTTAGTAGTGAAAATTTGTGAATTTCAGGGCCTCCATCGACTTGGGAAACAAGATGTTGCAGTTTATGATGGATCTTGGAGTGAATGGGGAGCTCATTCCGACACACCTGTTGACACTGCTGCTTCATAAATGGTGCAGCATCCCTTCCTTCTCTTTACAAGTATTCTCCTTGTAAATGTTTAGTAGAGTTTTTGTTTCTTTGAAAAGAAAGTTACCTGAGAAGAACTTCATTTACATTGGTGCTCTCTCCTCTAAAGTTGATTAGTGGAAATAAATTCATGTTCTATTGGCTGTTTTTTTTAATGGAAACAGCACTTGTACAACCTTATTCACTGATGTAGGTTGAAGAAAACCTCGTACCATTATAACACTTCCATTTGTTAGTTAGTTCTCGAGTTGTCGACTCTAGTCTAGACTTTCCCATCTAAGAATGTTTTTGGAAAGCCTTTGGTGTTCTCTGCATAATTCTTCGACTTGTAAAGGACGTTAAAAGTGAGCTAGACTACGATCTGATTCAAAGAAGAGGATAAAAAGGTTTAGAGGAAGATAACGAACGAGAGACGAGATAAATGAAAGGGAGGTGAGAGTAAGAGAGAATTACATAGCAAAAATTTGAACTATTGTGAGATCTCATATCGATCGGTTATAGAGGAAAACAAAGTATTCCTTGTAAGGGTGGATCGGTTAGAGATGAGAACGAAACATTCCTTATAATGGCTCGTGGAAATCTCTTTCTCTCTCTCGTGAACACATTTTTAATCGTGAGGTTTACGGTGATACGCTACAGGCCAAATTGGATAATATTTGTTAGCGGTGGACTTGAACGGTTAAAGTAATAATCTCGAACTTTAAAGAGCCATTGTCAAGTGAGACTTGAAATTTTAGCAACAAATTGAGGGCATTTTCGACAATCGTACAACCCTTCAAATAAATTGTATAAATACCGCAACAATTAACTCTCTAAGCTTTTGCTTGATTTCGAACCCTAACAATGGCGGCTTCAATCGAGTCTGTGCAATGCTTCGGCCGGAAGAAGACGGCTGTCGCTGTGACGTACTGCAAACGCGGCCGGGGCTTAATCAAGATCAATGGCTGCCCAATTGAGCTTGTCGAGCCAGAGATCTTGCGATTCAAGGCCTACGAACCCATCCTCCTCCTCGGCCGCCATCGTTTCTCCGGCGTCGACATGCGAATCAGAGTCAAAGGCGGAGGCCACACCTCGCAGATCTATGCTATCCGTCAGAGCATTGCCAAGGCTCTTGTCGCCTTCTACCAGAAGTACGTCGACGAACAGAGCAAGAAGGAGATTAAGGACATTCTAGTCCGCTACGATCGGACTTTGCTCGTCGCCGATCCCAGACGCTGTGAGCCGAAGAAGTTTGGTGGTCGTGGAGCTCGTGCTAGGTTTCAGAAATCATATCGTTGATCTGAGATTTTTAGGCATCTATGGTAGAGAGTCGCTTGTTGGTAACGGTTATTTTTTGGATTTATGTTCTAATTACCTTCGGAGACATGGAATTTTGGATCTGTTTATGATTGTAGTATATGAAAATTTGACATCGAGACTTGAGTTTTCTGATTACTGAGATAATTGCAGCCAAAAGGCATTTTTGAATCGTCTTTTTTTTTCTTCCAGTCGTTAGTTGTTCATGTTAGACACAGAACACCCCTCATTCCTACCCTGCATCTCTTATGACATTAGAGCTACTTTACAGGTCGAAGACTGTCCTCACAAACCAGCAATTTGGTCTATTTACCTACTTTTTTCTCACCCCAATAGAAATTTTGAAGAGGTCATCCTATTTAGAACTATTTCAGAGTCAGCATGCTGATGCTGATGCTTCTTAAGCATTATACTTCTGTTGGTATAGATAGGATGTTATATGCATTATGTTCTATATGTTTTCATACATCTTCTCCTCTCATAATCATATATCTATGTTGGGTTCTAGCCTGATCTAAGAACAACACATGGGAAGAGACTTGTAAGTAGTTATTAAGGTTCTGTTAGAGGAAGCTTTGGAAACTAGGGGTTAGTGTAGTTCATAGATTAGAGAGAGGTTTCTTTTGGGAATGTGGGGAATTTTCTATTTTGTTATTTGTCAAGCCTTCCATAGGAGCTCTGATTGATTGTAACTGAGGATTGCAGGACATATATCTTAGGCGATGTATACTGTCTTAGTTAAAACTCAAGATCCTGGTGTTCTTGTGAGTTTATTATATTGGTGCTGCAACATGGAGATCTATGTTTGTTCTTGGCATGTCGATTTGGCCATATGGAGGGATTGGATATCCAATCACACATGAACTATATGGGCGAAACCCATAATTCATTGATAATCTTGAAAATGTGACTATTTAGTCCAATCTCTAAAGATTTTTCCAATGACTAAATCTCCCACATGGGTAACGAGTGACTTAGAAGATTCACTAAGGTCCCAGGTTATTACCTAGTTACCTCGAGTATTTTTTACGACTTCTATAGTGTTATGTGTACAAGTTGTCTTGGTTATGTTGTTGCTTTTTATTATTTATTTTAAGTCCAATATGTAATGCCTAAAAGTTGGGAGGCTCGAGCATCGATGATTTCAATCCAAAATTTCTTAATTTTGAATGGTATCAATATAAAATGTAAGTAGAAATTCAGTCATATCCCCCAACCCAAGGTTATATATGCTAAGCCATTGTTATGTCTCACTTGTTTGCTTATATGTTGTTATCTCTCTCTTGTATAACGTCTCTTTCTAAAATCTTTCTCTACCCTCGTTTAATAAACCTTCTTTCAAACTCGAGGCTAGAGGCTCGATCATACGTTGTTTGGCCGTAAGCGACGCAAGAACAAATTGACTTAGCTCACTTATTGTTGGAAAGTGAGTGCCGCACAACCGAAAAGCAAGTTGCCTAATCCAATTATAAATTTTGTATTGAAATATCTTGAATAGTATAGAATAAGTTGTAATATTTAAAATTATAAAATTTACCAATTGGAAATAAGTATATTGTCTTTAAAAAAATGGAAAGGGAGTTGAAATTATAAGAACAAATTTTAAATAAAAAAGAAAAATGTTATATAACTTCCTGGAGAAGGAACGAGAAACAAGAAAAAAAAAAAGAAAAAAAAAAAGGAATTCAAAATTAATTAAATTGGCGGGCTTCTCCATTGGCGCCCTAAGAAGAAACTCAGTCCGTCTCCATCTGGCGTCTGCTCTATCTCTATGCTTCTTCTTTTTCTTCTTCTCTAACTCGCTTTCCCTCCACGGCAATGGCTTCGCCGTCGGAAGCCTCTATCATCTCCATCCTCGAAACAGCAGATTCCAAAGGCATCTTCTCTACTGTTTCCGATTTCCTCCGACCTTTCTCCGATATCAAAAATCCCAAGAAATCCAAGAAATCAGCCAAGCCAAGCGACGATTCATCCGCAATCCGTTCCCTCGCCAAGAAGTTTCTCGTTTTTCTCAATCGAGCTCTCTCCATTCTACCCAAGCGCCTCAGCGAGCCTTCCAAGCTGGGCAACGATCTCGAATTGGCCCTAGAATTCTTTGAAATCTATAAGCTCTGCTTGGCTTGCTTGGAATCTTTGACGTCGCAGCTCTCTTGTAAACCCTATACTGTCGATGTCCAGAGGGTTCGAATGGTGCATTATATGGAGGATTGGGGACTCTTCAAGGACGCTGAGGCTGAGGGCTTTAGGATTTTGGAGAGGCTGAGGGTTATTGGCCGTACATCTGACTGTCGTGTTATTCGTGATCGGGACAAAGGTGGTGGTGATAAGGATTTTTGTTTGTTATTCGCGGAGGTTGTCGTAACACTTGTTAAGTGTGCGGCCAGTGGTCGTAGTAAGGAAAGTGGCGCCTATAGAAGGCTTCTTGGATTGGTGGAGGAGGTTGGACCATGGTTCAGGTGAGAACATCACTATTTAAGTTTCAAATATGATTTGTTTTTTTTGCTTTTTCTCCTTTTATTACAATTACTGTTCTGGGTATCTTATAGCTAGATTAGAGCACATTATATTGTTGAACTAACGAGAAGTGCATCGTTGCTACAAGAAAGGTGTATGTATCCAATAGTTGTTAGTGCAGAAGTTCCTGTGATTGCTGGCTTTAAACTAGCCAGACCCTTAATTTTTAATTAGAAGTAGATGCTTTGTTTATCTGATACACGCATTCGTTCTAGCAGGTTACTAGATGCTAAAGTATCTGAGAAGACTCAGAGAGCTTTGGCCACATATCTAGGTAAATGTACTATTTTCTTGGTAGAGGAGCTAGATTATTTTGGTGAGAGTCTCATAAGTCTCTTCTGTCGCATAACGTTTGCTGAATATGCCAAGTCATCTTTGAGAGATCAGATTTACAAGGTGGTGTATCGACCTCTTGCTTTTTGTGTGTCTTTTCTGTGGGTATTACATTATCTGTTAACGTTGTTCTTTATTCATTATTCTCTGTGCAGTTAGCCCGCCGGATATGTTCCACTCTTTTCTCTCTACAACAGGAACAACATTCGTCTATGCTCATCATGCACATATTAATATGTGTCTTGAAGTCTCTTACCCTAGAATGGAAGGTAGTGCTAATGAAGAATTATTGGTGAAAAATTGTCCATCTAGTCATGCAAAGCAGAGTTTTCATTGAGTGTACATTGTCTTGAATAAATGCTCGTATGGATCCATCTAATAAGAATACCTCAATAATGCAGTAAAGGGTGCCATTTTTGAATTAATGTTGACTTTATTTTATTTGTGCATTTTCTTTTATATGCTTCTGTTATTGTTTTACATAATTTTGTCTAATGGTAGAAGAGAGTGGCTGCTTCCCTGAACCAGAGGTTGTGCTGATGATTTTTTCCGAGAGAGGAACAGCAGAATAGCTATTGTCTTATCTAGCTTTTCCTTACCCTCTAGTTGCAAGAACTGTCAACTTCTTACCATCTGGTTACCACAACAGTCGATTTCTTCCGAAATCCTTAGATAAAATGGTTTTCGCTACTGATTGGAACATAGCACATTAAGGGATCAGAAACAAATGAATAAAAGAAAGTATGCTTTTGCTTATTCCAGGAAGAAACCAAGCAGAGAGCTCAAGTGAGAGATAGTCAAGTCATATATTGACAAATATTTTACTTAAGCACATTATGACATGTCAAATTCATTTTTGATTTGTAGGTTAGGTCAGGGAGTTGAGCTGTGTCATGAGTTGTGCTAGTTCAAAAGTCATTAAACATGTTGGGTCGTATACCAATTTGCCAAATTGGCTCGATGGTGTTGCAATTTGTCGACCTTAACATAAAATATCGTGACATGATGAACCTTGACATAGGAAGATGAAACCTCTATTCCGAGTAGTCTTAGTGTTTGGCATCATGCTTAAAACATGTGCTGTGCATGTGATACTAAGTGTTTTGCTGGTTATTGTTTTTTTAATCAAGACTAGATACATTTACTTTTAAGAAACTGAAACATATCAAGCATTAAAACATATAGAAACTAGACAATAGAAGGCAAGAAAATAAACTGATTTTACTTGACAAAATTTAAGGAAATGGTATGAGAAGATAGGAAAGTGATGTTTGAGATGCATGGCTTGACGCTTCATTTTATTTTGTTGTTGGAAAATATCATTTCTATTTATGTGTGTTAAACCTGTGAAACAACAAATAATACCTGTACTTTCTTAATGTGTTGAATATATCTCTGTCACTTTTATCTTCTAGGATTGCATAGTGGATTAGTACTTGGGGTCTGCCTATTGAGAGAGTATAAAGTAATCCTCAAACTTAAACACACTGCCAGACAAGAAAGAAAGCATGTTATTCCCCTCTTCAAGTTGGGCTGTGGAACTTCCTTCATGTTTGCAATATATATATATATATATATATTTATTTAGAATGCATTTGTCTGGTTTATTTGAACGGTAAAATAAATTCCTTTGTTGTCTCTGAATTACTTGTTTTAAGAATATTAGTTTGTACATCCCCAGTGTGAGCTTCATTTTTTGTTTATCCATATGCTAAGATAAGTATTGCAAATCTTTCTTAAAAGGAACTTTAATGAATTTTTTCAGGATGAAACTGAATGGACAGTTGTTGAGTTTCTTCAACTCATCTGTTATTCTGCAAATAAATGTCTGAGTGCAAGTCCCGAGTGTTGTTGTGCTTTTGCCAAGCATCTTGAGGAAATGGCACGTGAATTCCACGAGGTATGCTATTCTAGCTTTTAGTTTATGTATCTTCTCCACAAATGTCATTTGCATTTGCCATATTACCTAATGTTAACCTTATTTAATAGGCAACACCTCCATTGGGAATGAATTTGAGGCTTTATGCTGCTGGGTTGAAAATCGTTTCTAAGTTACCCAGAGGTGAAACTTGTGGCTCGGCATTCAGTACTTTACTTGATGATGAAGATACTATACAGAGTTTGGTTAACTTAAATGGTTTCCTGGGGAGTTACTTTTGTATTGGCTGCAGAGAGGGTAATGAGTCCTGCAGCATTGAGCAGAAAGATTTTGTCGGCCAACCATGTTTACACCGGAATCCTAATCATGAGAATGGGGTCCCTTCCCTTCTGAGCTTGAGAGAGGGTTATCTATCCTCTTACTTGGATGCAATTAAGTTCTTCTGCCAGCCACTTGCTGAATCAGTTAATGCTGAGAGAAAAGAAATCCTTGCTGAAGATAAAGCTTCTCCTGTTTTGTATAATATTCAAAATACTTTGCATCAGTTCTGTGATGTCTTTCTTTTTTGTCAAAGGCAAGTTATTTTTGTTTTAAGTGTTTCGTTTATGATCTTATTTATGAGATTTGTTGTGCTTGTCTATAAAAGAATAATGGTTCCATTTGCATCTCTTAGCTTATTGAATGATTACTTTGTAAAAGTTTCTGTGTTGACAAACATTCTATTAATTCTGGGTAGGAGGCAGCTTAACTTGCGGTAGCCCAAATTTTCATGTTACCATATGGTTACAGGGGCAAGTTGTAGATGCATGTGAAGTTATGGACAAAATCATGATGATCACTTATCTGGGATATAAAATATCTTCCAAGTTTCTAGATATATATGTTGTAGGTCAGATTATTGTCCTTGCGGTTCATTGGGTTGCCTATAAGCTGGCTCAAATAGCCATAGTTATTTTTAGAGAAAAATTGTCTACATCAATTAATTTTCTGTTGTCTTTCTTGAATTATGAGTCAAATAAAGTTATCCAATCTTGGTTTATGAACTATTGAATTTTTTGTCTGTTGATTAGGATAGAGTTTTACTTAAGTTCATTTCTCAAGTAATTTTTGCTCTGTAATAGATTTTTTTACCTCTCTTTTCTATTTCTTGTTTCAGGCGTGCATATGATGCTAAGAGCGATGGATGTGATGAGAATGTAAATATGCTATTAAGCATTGTTGTGGCTGCTTTTACCCTGTCTTTTAGAACAAGGCTGGAAATGAAGGTTGCCACAAGTTCTGGGGCACATTAATTAGTTTGAAATGATTGCAAATTACCTAATTGGTTTTTCTTTTCTTATTCACAGAGGAGCACGGATTTGATTAAGGATGTTATCGCAAGCAAATGGGTTCAACCTTTTGCCTTGAAACGTTTATTTGCTTCTCTTAACAACATTGGCATTATTTTATTCAGAAATAATCAAATAGGAGAGGTACGTTTTTTTTCTTATCAGATGGATGTTAAATGTGATTTTGGTTTATAACAATATAATATGGAAACCCTGGTTTACATCATGAAATTGCAAAATGTTGGATTGTTTCCTCTAAGAAAAAAATATTATCAAGCGTTCAACTTTTTTTCTCTTTTTGACTTTTTTAGAAATGAAAACGTTAATGGCACTGGAAACCAGTAGTTACTATTAACTTAAATATAAATAGTAGTATCTAAATAAGCAGAAAATATTAGTCAAATGTAAAAAGTTATTATAATTTAATAATAACATGATCCAATCTAGTTAATGTGGACTCATAGTGTTCGTGAACAATAATTCAATTAATTATTACCTGTCCATAGTATTTCCCATTTGTCTTTGACATTAATTTGTACTGTGTGATTGACATATATAATGATGAGAGTTCATTGTTGTACTTGGTAGTCATGTCAGTGATGCATATACTTTTTGTTCTATAAGAATATCATGTGAAATTAATTTGCCCCCGGTATCAATATTCTTTATTGCCTCATTCTTTACATATTTTTAGTGGAAGATCTTAAAAGAATTTCTTCCAATGTTGCTTAGATCCTATAAAATGTTATTTTCATTCAAGAAGTGAATAATTTGTCCTGTGCAAGTTATCATCATATTTAGGTGTAACTTCCACATTTTTCTTCTACCCAAGCCCCAATGTTGCTAGATTCCCCTTGGGGTGTTAGAATAAAATAGGAAGAATCTGATGAACTTATAGCTAATATTTACCTCGCCATATTTCTCATATGTACAGGCCTCAAAGGCGTTGAAGTTGTGTTGTAGAGCATCGTGGACCTGCGTCAAACAATTTTGTGAGATATTTGACAACAAGTCCAGGCCATCAGATAATGAATTTTCTGAAAATTCCGTTCTAATTATGGTTAATGAAGTGATTATGAGAAGTTCTTTCCTTGTTGATATTCTCTATCAACGTGGCATGTGTAAGGTAGAAAAAGCAATGACTGAGATTCTTACGAACTGGTCTGCGGCTACAGAATTATTTGATGAGCTGCCAGTTCCCGTGCAATTGGTGAAACAGTGGGTTAAGGTAACGTCAAAAGTCATTCAATATATTAAGTTACTACATATTTTCCCTCGGTGCTGATTTTAATACTTTTCTCAGATGCAATGCAAGTATCATAAGAATGCAGATCCCAAAAAAAGCACACCAACCTTGAATTGTTTATTGCAATCTTCTGAGACGGTGTCAAAGGCTAAAATTGGTGTTCTCTTGGAGCAGGTTAAGTTATTTGTTCTTTGTTCACTTATAATTAGTTTTCCTTAATTTCTTCCTCTATTAAATTGTTTGATAGTGTTTACTTGGATATTGTACAGGAACTCGTTGAATATGAGGAAATGAGTGGTCTATATCCAGAATTTTGTCAATCATTACAAATGAAGATCTTGAGTGTCCTTCTAACGGATACGTATATTACACCAGATCATAGACTTGAAAAGGCTAGAGTGTTAATGAAAAAGGCAAGGGTATTGAGGCTTTGTGAAACTGTATGTTTAGACGGTTGCATCCAGTGTTTATCAGAAGCAATATCTACAATGGTAAGTTTGTTGTTGTTGAGATGCTTCATGTTTTCTATCAATTTAAATATTTGCAGAAGAACCGCTTACTTGTTTTTGAGTGGGAAATACATTATACAATTGACATGTTGCAGTGATTGAAACAGAATGAGATTTCTGGTGGATGTCGCAGCTTTGGAGTTCTTCATTCTCATCAGTTAGCTGTGGCATATTGCTTACGTGCATTCTGTACTCATGAGACTGTACCAAATTCAAAGGTGTTAAACGCATGAAAGGCTAGTCTTCTATATTGAGTAATTAACACTTAGTAGCTTTGTTGGTTCCTGTTTATTTTTTGAAAGGCTGTTTCTCTCTCACACTCTTTATAGTCTTTGCCTCTTTCTGATTTTTTATTTTTTATTTGTAAAATGCTTTTCGGGTGACAATAAAGTAGCAAGTTCAGCAAGATATTGATTCTGCATTGAGCATATGGTTGGAAATCTCAAGTCTGAATACCTTGCCAGATGATCAACGATTGATACTATCTGAGTATATGTTGCTGCTATTATGTAATGCTTTTGATTTGTTATCAATCAAGGTCTGTCTCTTTGTTAGATTTTTAATATTTTCAATTATTTTATCAAATGGGTAACGTTAGTGTTCAGGTTAATTATTTTATTATTTGGGTGTACCTTCAGGGTTGCGTGGATTACTACGATAACATATACAGTCTCATGATTAGATTATTCAAATGGAAAAATGTTCCATTGGAGAAGCTGATGGCCACTCTGTGGGAAAGCAGAAGAATGAGTCACGCAATGTGCATTGCACCAACTAACGAGTTAGTTATAGCACAGCTATCTGAGCATCTTGGTGACCTCCCCAAGAGTTATGATTTTTGGACAAACTGTCTGAAGACATTGCCAGGCATGCTTGTCGGATTCCAGCAGAATTTCTCATTTTTATGCTCAAATTATACCCAGACATCTTGTGAACATGAAAAGTCTAGTCGAATGCATGTGACGGTTGATGAGGTTAAAGAAGCTGCGTTGAAACTCATATCTCATGTATTTCTCTCAAGTCCCAAGTAATCTCCATAAAAGTTGTAGGTTGTAATTGCTGTATGCGATCCACTCTTTTTCTTATGTTACTTCTCTTGCAGATTCCTGCATGCAAAAGTTCTATTTTCTTGGCTGGATATCTTTACTATGATTTGTGTGAAAGACTTATTTCAGAAGGTTGTCTTACTGAGGTAAGTCCATCCAATCTGTTGTGGGTAGAGAAAGTTACAGGGAATGAGGTCATATGATACTTTCAGATTTTAACTTTTATGAATCTTTATATTTGAACTTTCATACTATCTTTCTGTATGGGGTGAAACTTTCCCAGTCTCGTACCATGAATGAATAATATAAGTTTGTTCAAGACTTTAGAGGAGTTAATCCAATTTACCGTTTACTGCTTATGGTCTTCTGTCTTTAATTACTAATAAGAGATCCTTCATGTAATTCACTTCTTGGTGATTGGGAGCTTTTATCTCCCTTATTTTATACACAGCAACTTTCTTCTGTCCAAAGTTCCCCAGAAGTGTGGATTAAATCAACAGATACTCCCGAGAAGAATATTATGTGTAGAGTCAGGTTGTAGTTGAAAATACTGTAAAAAAAAAAAAAAAAAAAAACTATTTATCCATTGTGACTATGCGGACTAGTTTTATATTTGTTTATGGATGGTTAAAAGATTTTTTTTTTAGTCATCAGCTTAACCTTTTAGGTTTAGTAGTTTAAGGTTCTCTTAGGTGGGATTCAAACTCTTTTCTTTTCTCTCAATTAGCATTGATAATCACTTGTTTGATCTTGTGAATGAAAGATTAAATTTACCATAACCTAAAAGCTTAGCGGAAGTTTAATGATGTTTGATGCATGAATCAACGTAAATATATTCTGCCTTCCTACTTTCAATTCATGTTCATTTCTTTCCAATCTTGAATTCTATGTTGCTCTTATGTTATGTCTGATATAGAGTTTGAGTTTTAGATTGTTTCATTGGAAAAAAAATGAAATATTGAAAAAGAGGAATAAACCCATGCTAAGGAAGTTTTAATTGGAAACAAGGAAATCAAATAACATCAAAAGAGGAAGAACACAGCCTAAAGGCCTTACGGATGAGGAATCCCTAGGCCTAAACTGGAGGATCATAAAATAATCTAGATTGATGAGCATTTTCTGTATATCACACACACACACACACACACACACACACATATATGTATTCATAATATAGGCAATGATGGCAAAAATAACCACAAGAACCATTGGTAGAAAGCTTTGACAATCTGGTCGTAGTTACTAGAAGAGGCTTAGACAATTTGGTCCAGGAAATAACCACAAGAACAAATGTTCGCAAAAAATAGCCAGTGTCTGTTTCCTACAATTTTGTTTTTAAATTTCTTTCTTACCAAAAACTCGCTAATAAGGCCCTAATAAACTCAGCCCCAATGTTTTATCTTTTTTTGAAAATGCCTTCCTAGACAAAGAAGACGGACCATTGGTATTGCTAGGAAATGTAGGCAAGTGAAATCTGACAAAAACTTAAAGAGGCCAAAGAGCAGCTGATAAAAGGTAGTCTTGAGTTTCATTGTCTGCTTCACACAGCACTAGCTCTTAGAATTCCTGTTTTGGACTTGGTGTGAACCAGTAGTATGTATTTAGCATCCAGGAACTGCTTAAAAACTTTCCTTCTTTCCCCTGGGGATAGTATAGTAATTTTCCTGGAAATGTTTCCTGCCTTCATTGCAAATCTTGTCTATCGATAGATATTTTGGCTATTCATCTTCTAATTATTTGTATCTGTACATAATAGGCTCTCTTATGTGCAAAAGAAGCTCACCGTCTACGCTCTAAACTATTTCAAGAGAAATTTACCTACTCTGTTGAGCAGCATCCTGAAAAATATTGTGAAATTACTCATGCTAGTCAGAAGCCTCCATATGGCATTAAGAATCTCCGGAAAAGTGGATCTGTTTCTCGCAATATATGGTCATTTGATAAAATATCATGGGATGTTGAAGGCTGCTATCTTAGTCCTTTTAACGCACTTCAGTGTTATCTTGAAAGCACTCTTCAGGTACAACTTTTCTTTAATGTTAAAACAGGAGTCACTTTATCCCTCAACTTCCAACATATTTCATATGGGTATGCTATTACTTCCATAACATCCAGGTTGGGCTTGTTCATGAGATCATTGGAAATGGTTCTGAGGCTGAAACACTTTTACAGTGGGGAAAAAGTATCTCCTGCTTGCAAAGCTTGCCACTTTTTGAAGTTGCTTTCTCTTCTGCTTTAGGTATATAATATGAATTGTTTGGTTGGTTTCATGTTCCTGTGGATATTGTTTGTCAAATGTATAATAGGCAATTGTTGTGTACTTCTGGCAGGAAAAGTATACAGAAAGAAACAGTTATGGAGTTTGGCACAAAAGGAACTTGAAGGAGCCAAACAGATATTGACGGATAACATTACTTCTTGTTTGAAGTGCAAATTGGTGCTTGAAGTAATAGTTGATCAGTATCTTGGGGATTTGTTTCGAAGTATGTATGTAAATGGTAATGGGAATACATCTGAAGAGCTATTAATAAATGCAGAAGAGTTGTATAAGTTAGCTCTTGAGAAACTGAATCTTTCTGGATGGAAAAATTCCATTAGTTGTCCAGATGAAGCAAGTCATCTTTCATCTCTGACAATTCCAGTGGAAAGGGCGAAGGCCAGAAAGGATGGAAGAAAGAGTAAAAAGACTACAAACACTCCTAGGTCTCTACAAATGGATCGGTGTGTAAATCCCCAAACAAATGTGAGACTGACTCGCTCTAGATGTCGGTCGATTCAGGGGCAAAGCACAAACATTTCTAATGAAGTGGAAGTTGACCTTGCTGTGCATTTGAAAAGCAACGTTCCTGATCTTTCTGGTGCTTCTGGCCAGAAGCAAATGCATTTGCAACTAAATTGTTGCACACCTACTTTAGGATGTGGAGCATCATGCAAAAATGGGAAAGTTGGATGTTGGCAATGTCTCCAAATGGAAATAATGGAAACAGGACAAATAAACAATTTTATATATCTCAAGTGGGAGTTTGTTCGCAGACGGCTTTTGTTGAGGCAACTTTCTGGCTTAGGTATCAACAAAACTTAAGATCATAAAAGTCTTTAGTTTAATGCTTAGCATACCTACAAACACTTTTAGTTGCTATAACCCATGCGATTAAACAGGTATTTATTGTCAAAATTTTATGATGCAGAAGTTCCAAACCTTTTTCCTTGCCAATTTCAAACATATATGTCAATGCTCATTGCAGTAAACGTTTAGTTTAGACTTGAGTTATCTGATCTCCTAGTTCAACATGGCCACTGTTTTGCTACATTTTGCATCAAACATCCTTCATTAGCCATTGGGTGTGTGGGATTATTTTCACTCTACTTGTATTTTCACTGCTCTCTCTGTTGTTTGTTCCTAGGTAAGTGCTCGGGGATTCGTAGTCAAATTCATCAAACACATGAAACCATTTTGAAATGCATGTCCATCTTAGTGAGCCGAAATCTATTCTCTCAAGCACATGGTGTTGTTGAACCCGTGGTTTTGCTTGATTTAGTTGGGAAGGAAGTCCCTGGAGATATGTTTGCAGTTGAGAGGGCATCAGTTCTCTATAACATTTGCTGGTTCGCTTTGAAGAGTTACAAGTATGATGATACCAAGTATGTATAGTTAATCTCTTAATGCTCTATATGTACCACGTAACCACCTATATCTGTTGTATTCTCTCTTATCTTATCTTTTGTATGAAAAGAAATTGCAATCTTCAAATTGTGAACTCTCCAGTCCACCATCCTGTTGTTGATATTTATGTACTTTAGCGAAAATATGTTTCCCTTCAATTTTGGATAACAATGAATTTTTGGGGAACAAAGTCATTTTGAATCTTGCATATACATAATACAACGTTGCCCCCACTTAGGATAACAAAATTTTACTCTTGCTTTGGAGTGAGGACCAGATGTATTCTTAGATAACACACCAAGTTAATATAAAATTTCAACTTCTGCATTTTAGAGTTTTTGCTAAAGCATAGAAATATTAGCTTCTTCAAATCTGTAGCTACGGCATAATTCCCTTTGCTGTTTACTCCTTGGCAGGATTATTTGCTGCCCATTGTCTCAGGTTCAGTCTAAAACGTTGGTTTCTTGGCTGATGGTTGCCCTTGCACTCTGCTGTGAGGTTCCTGTTCTTTTTCAGAAGGTCTATAGCTCTGTCATATCCACTTTAAACGTTTAATTTTTTTTTTTTTACTTCTAGTCTTGGAAATTAACCAATATGTTTCGTCTCTTTTCCTCGTTAGATATATTCTGTATTTAATTAGTAATCGTACATCACTAGTTAACTTTTTGTTTGTAAGCCTTTTACTTAATTTAACCGTTCCCTTTGAAGATTGTATATTCTTTCACAACCCGTTTGTCTATGATTTTTCATGTTGTATCATTATTCACGCATCCCAAATTTTCTAAAGATATCATATAACTGCATATGAAGTGTTTTACGAGATTCAATACTTGTCATCTAAATGAATTTGAACTCCATTACAGTTTCAACTTGAATGATGCGGGTTTTTCGTGATGGATGAAAAATTGTAATGTGGAACAATGCCTAATAAATAAGATTCTTTTTTCCTCGAACCCTTCATTTTTTTATGCTTCTGTAAAAAAAATTTCCTCCTGTTCTGTACATAATGTTATTTCTTGGTGGTTAATTTTGATTTCTCTTAATGGGGAATAGGTTTCGAAGTTGCTAGCTGTTATACATGTGATTTCTTCATCAATTGAGCTATTATCTTTGCCATCTTCCAACAAAATACTAACAGACAGTCATTGGGCTTCATATTTTCACCAAGCTTCGATTGGAACTCATCTTAATCATCAGTTCTTCCCATATACGACTGGAAGATCATGTATACAGGACCTTAATTTTGCAAAGGTACGCTGTTACTTGCATTTCTTTTTTGTAGGCTTTTGTAATTCTTTATGCTGTTCTTCCCATAACTGGATTGCTAAATATGTTATATTCTTGATTTCATTTTTGTCCTTTTCTCTCTTTATTTGTTTTCTTTCATTGCACTTCTTGATTGTTGAATGCTTGTATGCTATATTTGAAGTATGGGCTCATATATGGATTTAACGAAGTCTATTTTCAGGGTTTCGATACAGGAGAACAAACAGTGAAGTTATTTAGGTAAATAGCCTTCACGTTTGAATATCATTCACAACGTCAAATTCTTAACCAAGTTTCGTTTTTTTGGCTTTCATGATGTAGAAGGGGATCTTTTTCTAGTCAAGATCTTGAAGAATATGTGAGAAAGTTCTTTGATGGCCTTCCTTGCGTGGCTATGGTTTGTATTAGTTTGATTGGAGGAGATCTTGCTTGTTTACTACAACAAATTCTCCATTTTCCTTCATCTGTCCATGCATGGATCCTGGTGTCGCATTTAAATTCCAAGCGTCAGCCACTTGTTTTACTACTGCCCGTGGAGACAATCTTAAAAGGTACTGTAGCTGGAAACTCGTACCATATTACATAGTAATATTTGTATCCTAAGTTGTAATGTGCTCAATTACTTTTTTGTTGGTAGAAGATTCAGAAGATTATTCAAATCCTCAATCAGATGATATCTGTGAGAGAAATGATTCGACTAAACATTGGCAATGTCCCTGGGGTTCCTCAGTCATTGATGAAATCGCACCAGCATTCAGAACTATATTAGAGGAGAATTATTTATCATCTTCAGTCTTTCCTTCAGAGGATACAAAAACAAATAGGATGTTATGGTGGAAACGGAGAACAAAGCTTGATGATTGCCTTGGTAAATTATTGGGGTAGGTTACGTCTATACTCTGATTCAGTGATTTTGGTCATTATTATAAATTTTCCCTTCTTTGATGAGTTTACCATAGACTTGAAAATTTGTTTCTTCATTGTAACAATTATGCTTTCTTTTTCCTTTCCATCACTTAACCATTTTATCCATCTTCCTCGTATTTTGCTTCTGTAACAGAACTATTGAAGATTCATGGTTGGGCCCTTGGAAATATATTCTTTTGGGGGACTGGTCAAATAGAAAGCATGTTGATTCTGTACTCAATACATTGGTGCTGAATTTGAAATCCAAATGCAAAATGGACGTCAATGAGGGTCTTCTGAAAATTATTTTAGAAGGTTCAGAGAACGTTCTGGTGGGATTTGATTCAAAATTGTATTCGAGGAAAGGTTGCTTCGTTGGTAGAGCAAGATTTCATGATAAAGAAAGGTCTAATCCTTTTCAAAATGCATTGAATGGAGTGGACAAACTTTCCACATTGGCCTTAAAATTAATACAGGATGCAAAAAAAGAGCTGGAAGGGGAAGACGGTACCAGCAGAGAGCCCATAATCCTTGTCTTGGACTATGATGTGCAGGTACCTTCATTCTTTATCAGAATCATGACTTTTGACTGAGAGCCTTATCTCCTTGTGAATTGCTTGATAAAGTATAATTGAAGACAAAACTATTATTTTAAATTGTTTAGTCATTCTTCTATCTATAAATTGACGGATCGATGAATTTACCAGATGCTTCCCTGGGAGAATATACCTATACTTAAAAACCAGGAGGTTTATCGCATGCCTTCTGTTGGCAGTATCTGTGTAACACTAGATGGAAGATTGCATCAGCAAGAGCAAGATAGTGGGATCATTGCTACCTTTCCTTCAATTGATCCCTTGGATGCTTTTTATTTATTGAACCCTAGTGGTGATCTCAGCAGCACACAGATTGAATTTGAAAATTGGTTCAAAGATCAAAATTTGGAGGTAAGCTTTTCTTAATTTCTCCTTATGTAATGGTTGCCTTATTTCATATTTTGAAATTATTTCCAATGAACTATGATCCTTATCATAGATGGTTTTTTTTTTTTTTTTTTTTTTAATAACAGGGGAAGGCTGGATATGCACCCAAATCTTCAGAGTTGATTGAGGAACTTAAAAGCCGCGACCTCTTCATATACTTCGGTCACGGGAGTGGTAAATTCTCGACTCTATCATGTTAAGTTGGCCTTTCGTTCTGAGACTTCCATTATCTTTCATGATTTTTTGCTGTACTCTTTTGCTAACGTGGAGTTGTGGTGGGGCTACAGGAGCACAATATATTCCCAGGCATGAGATTCAAAAACTGGATGCCTGTGCTGCAAGTCTTCTAATGGGATGCAGCAGTGGTTCCTTGACATTAAATGGTTATTATGTCCCACAAGGGATTCCATTATCTTATCTGAAGGCAGGTTCTCCTGTCATTGTAGCCAACCTATGGGAAGTGACTGACAAGGACATTGATCGTTTCGGGAAGGCAATCCTTGAAGCTTGGTTGAGAGAAAGGTCGTGTGCTCTTCCTAGTTCTGTTCAGTATGATATCGTTACAAAAGAGTTGGAGGCCATGAAAATAAGCTCTAAACGTGCCAATAAGAAAGTGGCAAGTAAAAGTCTACCTACAACATGTGAAAGTAATTCAAGTAGAGACCATTCTGTTCGTAGTCGAATGATTGGTTCATTCTTGTGTGAGGCTCGGGAAGCTTGCAATCTACGTTACTTAATCGGAGCATCGCCGGTTTGTTACGGTGTTCCGACAAGCATAAGGAAGAAGAAAGAGCTGACATAAATAAAAGGAGTTGACCCAACTTTCAGCAATAGAACTGAGATAACCTTCCATGCAACAGGCTTGTGAAGCTCTGAATTCCCAGCAGCAGCAGCAGCAGCAGGTATCATAAGACAAAAACGTGTATCCTGTTGAGTGGATGCAACATGGCCTTGGAAGCCCCGAGTTCCATGTCAGAGACATAAAACTTGCAGAACTGCATAGCTGCAATACAAGGAAAGCATGCGAAGGTAACAAACTGTAGGTTTTATAGCAGCAGCCATCTTTCCTGATTGTTCCGATAGATTTCAATATCAACATTTTGTCTTTAAAAGTTATGTCCACAATCTTCCTCTATTAAAGCTGTTTGATTGTAAAGAACTGAATAACGTTCAATTCTGTACTGATTTGTAAATGAAAATATAATCTTTTATACTGAAATTTTAGATACACAACCTCAAGCTCAAGAGGAATGGAGAAAATATAAACTTGAATGGGTCGACAAATGGTTATTTTGTTTTAAGTTTATGCTTTTGAAAATTAAGTTTTATAATCACCGTTTCTGTCTATAATTTTCTTGCTTTATCACATGCTTTTTTAAAACAAACAAACTTTATGACTCATTTTATATCTTCTTCTTGGTATTTTCATATTTTGTTTGGAATAAGGAATTGTTGATTATATATATATAATGTTCTTTCATGCATCATATCATGATCTCAAAGACCAAATTTTGGATTTAATGCTCTTTCTCCAATCAACTCAATAAAGAAAGTTTATGGCTAAGAAAATGTACAATGACACAAAACAATGTGTTGATTTTTTTTAATGCCCAAAGTCAATTACTTTAATTTAGGCTATCCACATCAAATCAAAGAAAATCATACCGTATTTAATAGGTTAATCGAGGTAGTTTACTAAATAATAAATAAATAATCTAATAAAATAATAAGATTCATTTGAGAATCTTATTTAGATTAAAACATTTTTTTCACGCTCTTGAAACTGATTAATTTCTATATATTGTTTTGTTCGTGAACTTTTAACTTTTTATCTAAGGAATATCCGTGAATTTTTTAATCTTATATATAATATAAAATTAATATATAAACATAAAATTAAATTTTCTATTCTAGACATTAAAATTTAAATTTAATATTTACATGTTGCTTAGTAGATGTGTTGAGCCATACCAACCAGCTAATCCTACCTTAACTATAATATTATTATTACATAGAAAAAATTCAAACATAATTTTGTAGTTATTATTTGAAAACACCTAAAAGATTATCTACTCAACTATGATCTACAATTATAAATATTATTTACAAAAACTTTATTATATTGTACTCAAAGTCGAGCAACTTATCAAAATAGCCTTTAATATCACTTCATTTAGTCATCGTTTTCTTAATTAAACAAAATTTGAATGACTCAAAAAGTGTTTCGGGATTGTATTTAACTATATATTCTCGAGTAAAATGTCAGAGGTTCGAATCTTTCCCTTCTTAAATTTTGGAACACTTTACAACTCACGCGTGGAGTATGATGCCTAAAACTGACTCAAAAAGTCGTCTCGGTATCGGATTTACTGTATGAACATGAATTGAATTCTATTTATCTAACCCGGACCATAAAATCCCAATAGTTTAGGAAAGAGAAAAGATTTAAAAGAATAGTTTGGCTCTTCAACTTTGGTAAGAGTCCATATATAGTTGTAAGTTTTAATTTGACATTTAATATAAATGTTAGTCCAACCTATTTTCATATACCAAATATTAGACTTCAAACATGTCACTTAAACCATACAACTCCACATGTCCTCTTCTATAAAATATATCTCAAATATAACATAAAACTTTAATAATCAAATTTTAATTTTTTTTCCAAAATATAATTTACCCATATACCTATTTCACTCGTAGAATACTATTTAGTAAACAGAATGACCAACCTAAGAGCGGAGCAAGCTTGAAATTGGTCGAAAGTTACAATTCGAGAACAAATTCAAAAACTACTAGACGTCTTGCAGGGCAACTCTCAGCAACAAGGACGTTAGACTTTTCGAAAAAATAATTTCTTCTTTTGGGTCTAACCCGCACTATATATATATATATATATATAATCATGATTAAAAGTTTGTAGTATACGGGATGAATCCTTGACTAGCACACTAACCTTTTCTTCGAAGAAAAAAAGAGCAAAAAAATATATAATAAGGTTATCCTTAATTAAAAATATATATATATATGTTAATGAATATCATAGGTTATGCAATAATGGAATAGATTTCACATAATTATTTAATATCCATAGATCTAGAAATGAATGCTTTCATATGGACATAGGCTTATACATATATCACATTATTTAATTCTTTTCTACTTACCCAAAACATATTTCACTATGACATATGTCATCTATATTTAAATATTATTTTCCTTGGTAACGTGAATGGAGGTAGAGCTTATATTAATATACATTCATTTTTTATACTATACTTTTCTTTTTCTAATCTTATTTTAAAATTATCCACACTACCCTTTATTAAACTTCCTTAAACAAATAATAATAAATGCAATTTCGTCATAATATAACCTTAAATTTCGCTAATATTTCTACGAATTTTATCGATAAGCAATGTAATTATGTTAATCGAGGCGCAAATTCAATTGAATAATTTGTTAAAAAATTATAAATTTTAATAAAATTTTGTAACGTCGAAAAGTTTTATCCATTTAGCTTCATGCACGTGTCTTAGAATTTCAATAAATTAAAATTGCAATATAAAAAGTGGGATTTTATCTTTTAAATAAAAATTCTAAAAAATACTATAAAAATTATATATTTAAATATATATATATATATATATATATATATATAAAACATGGGTGTAGAGTTATGAGGTCTTGGAGTTGACCAATTCAAGATGGGATCCCAAGAAGGTTTCTTTTTATTATTATTATTATTATTATTTTACATTTATTTAATTTATTTTTATAATTTGAAGTCCAAACCCAATAAATAATGACAGTGATGCAACAGCTTATTATTATTAATTAACACATAATTATTTATTCAAATTTCTATAATTAATATTAATTTGAGTACCCATTAAAAGTTTTTAGATTCTAAATTAGATTATGGGATTTTTTTTTTTTTTTTTTTTTTTTTTTAAAAAAACCCCAATCAATGGGAGCTTCAAAAGATGTTTTAATGGCTACAAATTAATTAGCTCTAATAAATTGTTGGGGCTGCTTAATTAATTCTTTTTTACGGTAATACGGCTGCTAAAGCTTCTCTTAATTACCATATAGTTGAATAATAATAATAAAAAAAAAAGACGAGATATGGTAGGGTTAAATCCGAGTTTTCACTTCAAAAACCCGTCAATTATATCGAAACATAGTCGTCACAATTTTACTTTGCTGTCCCTAATAATAAATTAAGTGGGTATGAAATTTTGTATGCCCATCTTGAGGTGGTGCATGAGAAACCTTTCTCATTCCCATCCCTGTTCAGCTACCGAGGAGAAATCTCTCCTCGCTTCCTCTCTCTTTTTCTATTGAAACGGGATTCATCACTCCAATTGAGATGGGTCTCCGTGGAGCTTCGACCCTCAAGTTAAATGGACGTCTCCATACCTAGCGGTACAAAATTAGCCGGGACGGGTTTAGGGTTAGGGGTAAGTGAATTAATAAAGGGAGGGCATTAAAGTCAAAGCGGAGATGCAGGGTTTGTGTGTGTAATAATATAGTTTTTCATAGAGACGAGAGAATTGACTTTGGTGCCTCAAAATTTGTACTCATAACAAAATAAAATGGAGAGAGAAACACTTCATCTTCTTCAATTTCAACACTAAAGATAGAGAGAGAAAGCTATGGAGATTGATCTATCACTCAAAATTGATCATCACAAACAAGAATTGAACCAAGAACATCAAGAACATCAAGAACAAGACGAACAAGACGAACATGACGAACACGAAGATTATCGAGTTCCAGAAAAAAAGGGAGTTGATGACACTGAAATTCATGTTGCTGCCTCTACTTTGAAAGTATTTTTGCCACAACACAACGTTAATGTTGGAGAGGTATCATTTAAAACCCTTTTTTCTATTCCTTTTTCTCAATTGAATTCATGAACGAGAGAATCAAATCGATGGGTCGGTAGAATTCAAACTTTTGATCTATTCATCGAGAATATATACTTATATTGATTGAATTAGCTCACGTTACTTTGATTCTATCAATTGGGTTATATTCATGGATTTGAAGAAAAATTCGTATATATCGTTTTTGCTCGAATGGGTTCGTTTTTACGTTTGATATAAACGATAGATGATCTCATCGTGTATACATACATGACGTGTTCGGTGTAGATTTCGGAGTTGCAAATGGAGATGGATCGTATGAAGGAAGAGAACAAGATGTTGAGAAAAGAAGTGGAACAAACCATGAAAGATTACTATGATCTTGAGATGAAAATTGCTATCATTCAACAAAACAATCTCCAAAAAAAGGTATCCACTTCTTGTTTTTCAATATCAATATGGGTTTGATACTCATAACGATTCTATCGGTGAGAATTCGAGCTATGATTTGTTCTTGGTTGAATACACACACAGGACTCTCACAACTTTCTACCGAGCCACGAAAATGAAAACAAGAGGGTCGAAGAACCAAACCGAGAGGTCGAGCTCGGAGAAACGGCAAAGAAGAGACGAGTTCGATCGCCATCGAAGGACAACGAAATGAGAGAAAGCAAACTAGGGTTATCATTAGGGCTTAATACAAACAATGATTTGGAAGAAGATAATGATCATAAGGATCAAGAAGAAGAAACAAGAGAAAAGAGCAAAGAACATGTAACATCCAACATGAAGGCAATGCAACAAAGCAAGCCACAAAGGCCTGAGTTGCAAGGAATGGCACCTCCACACAACAGAAAAGCTAGGGTTTCTGTGAGAGCAAGATGTGAAGCTGCCACGGTAAGTTGTGGATATCATAATAATAATAATGATATCCACATTTAAATGCCTTCGTGTTGTAATATTTTGTAGATGAACGATGGTTGCCAATGGCGGAAATACGGTCAAAAAATTGCGAAGGGGAATCCATGCCCTCGAGCCTACTATCGTTGCACGGTTGCACCGGGATGCCCCGTTAGAAAACAGGTATTGTTTTTCATACAAAGAGAACTAAAAAAGTTGCATTATAACTAGGGATGTACCTGGGTTGAATTGAGTTGAGTCGAGATCAAAATTGAAAATTTGAATGGGTTAGGTTGGCTATTTAAACTAGGGAGGTTAAAAATTCGATGACCTGAAAAAATTGATCAACCTAACCTAACGCACACGGTTTGGGTCGGGTAATAAATTTATTTGAATTGGGTTGGGTTCAAATAAATGAAAATTTTATGAATTGAGTTGGTTCATGAGTTCCCGTAAAACTAATTTGGTTCAGATCAAACCCAAAAATTTTAGGGTTAAGTTCAATTAGGTTCATGGCGTTTAAATTAAAAAATTTATAATTCAAATAATTGGGTCGGATCTAAAAAATTTGTCACAACCAGACTCAACCCAACTCACGAATACTCGTAACTTTAAGATCCTAAGTTGGGTTTCGAGTTGTTTAGGTCATCGAGTCATTTTTTGACGTTAAAGTTTGAATTTTTAGGTGCAAAGATGCTTAGAAGACATGTCAATACTGATAACAACGTACGAAGGAACACACAACCATCCGCTCCCTGTCGGAGCCACCGCCATGGCCTCAACAGCTTCGGCAGCCGCTTCGTTTACGCTATTAGACTCCACAAATCTCCCTCTTCCAAACCCTCAAAACCCTAATAATATTCTAAACTCCTCTTCCTATTCTGCAAACCTTAACCACCCCTCCACCGGGCTCCTCCTCAACCTCACGGCAAACAATTTCTACGCTCCGGTGGCCGCCTCCTCCACCTCCGCTGCCCATAATTCCTATTATCAAAGCAACTTTCAAGCTAATCTTTTTAGTCGTCCCCTTGATGGGCGGACTTGGAAATCGGCGGCGGAGGAGAATAAGCAGCCGCTGATGGGGGAGAGTGTGTCGGCCATTGCTTCTGACCCCAAGTTTCGAGTGGCGGTGGCGGAAGCCATTTCGTCGCTCATTAACAAAGACGGCAACCTCACCGCACCCAATTCTGTCAAACGCTCTTCTTTTGGTACCGAGAAGGATGGCGACGGCGGCGATAGCGGCGGCGGGAACAACAATTGGGTTGCCCAATCGCTCTCCACCAATGGTAAAATTTAATTTCTTGAGATTTTTTTTTTTTTTTTTTCATGTTTGATCAAAATCTGTATTTATATTTGTAGTTTTTTTTTTCTTTCCATGATTTGATTTTCTGATAATAATTATTTTGTAAGAACTCACAGAATTAAGGAATAAATAGGTTTTGGTTCCATGCACAATTTAACTCTTTCAAAATCTCTCGATTCTTGTTTTTTTAAACTTTCTTTTTAAATTGGGGTCAGAGTCTGCTCGAGCATACGTCACTTAGCCGTAAGCGACACAAGAACGAATTGGTCAGAGCCTGCTCGAGCATACGTCGCTTGACCGTAAGCGATGCAAGAACGAATTGACTTATCTCACTTGTTGCTGGGAAGTGAAGTGAGTGTCGCATAATTGCAAGTCTGTTGCCATAAAAAATGCTATTGTGACATTGTCGCGGTCCTACATTTTTTACCGTGCGGCGTCATAATCTTGACATGCCCACTACATTTTTCGCCCCAACTTTGTGACTTTATCGGACTTCAGGCGAGGTTTGTCTTCGCCAATTGAACATTGCTTGCGAGGAATTCAAACTTGTTCAACCACACACGTCGCTTGCGTAACACTTTGCAAATATTTTTTATTTAGCAAAATGTGTTAATGGTGAAAAATAAATAAATTCATTGTTTGGATGCATGAAATATAGTCGAGGGATGATTTATGAGATTTAGTGAAATATAGTAATCAAATTTAAATTAGGTCCAAATCATAGTGATCGAGTTGAAACCAAATTTATAAATAATTTCCCCTAATTTTAAATTTTAGTGTGCATTAGTTTATTAATTTCAATTATTCATCTCATTAATAAATGATGTTAAATAGAGTTTAATTAAGCATTATAGACTAATACATAAGGGATTAGTATGGTCACGTTGTAGATATTAACAATAAGGAGGACCAATAGGATGAATAAATTAAAATAGTAACACAAATCATAAAATCATAAACCGAAATCAACATAAATGTGACCGATAGAAGTTTTCAATTGAAAATCTAAAACATAGATCAACTGATTAAAGCGCATTACAACAACTACCTCACTCTTCGATCGAGAAACAAATCTTGGAACCAGCAACAGAAATAGGATCATACTGATCATTCAATTATCTGAAAACATCAAACAGCACAGCAATTTGATAAACAGCATTCAATGTGGGATCATGTTGCCTAACAATTTTATGATTGGATCACTAATGTTAATAAAGCAATCATAAAACTAAATTAAGGGAAGAAGTGTTCATACAATCCAACGTCCTTTCTTATTGATGATGGCTAAGGTCTTCATAGTTTTTGCAAAGTTCTTGGCATTTCTTGTAGATGCGAAGATGAAGTACACAAAAAGGCATTGCATAAAAAATCAGAAAAATGCTGCAACCAAAAGGATAGGAACCCCCACATGCCTAACTCTCCATTTACTTTATTTTCGTAAATAGTTTTGGTGCAACCTGCAACAAAAAGCGTCTTTGAAGTTAGTTAGATCGAGCTTGCCTATACTCAAGTTGTTTATGGACAACTTCTTCTGCAATCTAATCTACTTCCTCCTACAACAACCAAAGATATACTCACACATTTGTCGACGCAAGACCAGTAATCAAAATATTGTCCAGTGCAATGCTTATGGCCACTGTCATCCCCTTGGATTCTCTTCACGCATGCCTATCACATAGAAACACAATAGCCATCATTTTACCTTATCTTTATACCAATTCTACAATTTGATTCTGCTCAGACGTGATGAATAAAGTACCAAGTTAAGACCCCCTACTCATTCCTATACATCAACAAGGTGTCATAAGTTGAAACCCACATATAGAAGAGAATATATGAATTTGTGAATTTTTATAAAAGCACATCATATGCACATCCCAATATATATGTCTCCGAATTTGGTGGGGACCGGTATCCACGGGGAAGCAGATTCACAATGAATGAACGACTGGTAAGGGAGTCAACGTGAAGCCCAAAGCATGATATCAAGCTTATCAACTAGAATCAGTAAATCAAAACTGTCTCAGATTTGGAGAAAATATATCTTCAGTTTCGTCCTCAACATTGAGTTGAATTCACAACTCAAAGGAGCTACATTTTGTAAAAGAAAACTTGTTGAGGACGCTACTGTTGCCTCCATGACCTAAATGATTAGCATGAGAGGGCATTGATCCTTCACCATAATTGCACAAGGACAATTGCGTTTCCCCCACAAGGTTGCGCTAATAACTTTTTATTGGAACCTGGACTTTCGTTAGAGAAATGATAAAACTAGTACCAAAATTTGAATTTCATTCTTGCAACTTTCCTTGGTCATTCTCCAAACAGATCCATAAGTTTAAGTGATTGGTGGCCACTAGTATATTTTATTATTTTCAACCAAAGAAACCCACCCACCACCAAATCCCATCGCAATTCATAACTCCAACACCCTTTACGGCTTTTTAAACTCTAATTTTCTGAGAAAGGCCACTCCCTTCAAGCTGGCATTTCTTTGAAGGAACAGTTCGCTGAATACTAACTGATGCAAAGTTCAAAGTTAACAAGGAAATTAACAGTTTATAAATGGATGTACTCAATGGAGAGATACACAATCTTCAACCTACTGATTATTTCTAATGAGAATAGAAATATAACCATCCATGAAACCAGGTTTCTAAAGTTTATTCATGAAAAAAAAAAAACAGAGAATGATGAATACAAGTCAAATAACTGAAGAAAACACATATACAACTTGTTACTCCCCCACAACAAAGACCAATAAAACACTACATACCTGGTATTCAAGCAGTGGTTTCACACACTTGGGCTTGCAAGCTTCTTCAAGATACCTCTTCTGATCAACGGGTTCTTCATCTGCCCTATTACCAAGAAACAAGGAAATGTAGATCAGTTAACATCAAATACAAATAATCTTCAACATTATGAAAGATAAAGACACCGAGTATGAAGAAGATATGCATGTACAAGTAGATTCAAACCATATGAAGTAATTCAATTTCCATTCTGACATGCTTCAATCATTTGTATTCAAGAATGTAAGTATCCTACTGATTATTAAACCTTAAAAATCGCCATAAATATAGATCAGATCACTAAGCCGGTAAAATGCTACATCTTCCAAGTGTTAACACAACTGATTTACATTGAAACTAAATATACAGCAACCTCATTCTTCCCAAAATAAGTAAAATTCACAGAACTTCTATATTTCATAGTTTCAATTTAAGCAGCCCGGAGATGATATTTGTCATCGCGGTTGTTCAAAAAACCAAAATTCAGAGAAACATTTGTCCAAGTATGTGCTCAACAGTCCCCCCACCCCCAACAATAACTCTTCCTCTTCCCACTGTGAGCTACTTTTGAGGGAAGAAATAATGGTTTGGAAATCTATGAACGCAAAATAAGAATGCAATAAATGCTAACAAAACAACACTGGACTACAGGGTTATAACTCTAAAGCAATGTAGCAGACAATCAAAACGGTTCGTGTAAGAAATAAAAGGGTAAAAGGAGAATGTATAATAAATGGTGAAGCTAAAAAAAAATACTCACATTGCTAATAAATAACACTGACTTGGAGCAAAAAGAGCAGGCTAGAAAACCTGGAAACATTCAAATTTGAATTATCATAAAAACAAACATCAATACGGAAAAAGAAAAAGAAGAATATAGTTGCCAAATTGTCATTAGTTGTTTGTGGATAAATGCAAGCATCAAAATCAACGAACTTTTTTCCATGAGTTCAAAATGTCCATCAACCCATGCCTTTATCTCAAGCATTCTTTTGAGGAATGGCAGACACAAGATACATTAAAATTTGAAATTGACCGGCCACCAGACCAAACGCAAGCTTTTAAGAGTATCATTCGCTTAAGATAAGATTTCAGGTTCAGATGTTACGCATTCAGAAACGAAGGTACAATCAGAGAATCTCCGTCATTTTCACCAAAGGAAAAGCAAACGATTTCAGTCTAATGACATGTACCCACAAATTAAACTCCCTATAAGGTAGATAATGGTACTCGTTAAACTTAATTCCATTCCAAGAAAAACGAAAAATCCAATTCAAAATTCAAGACTCCAATTTCTATCAGAAACGATGACTTAGATCATACAAACAAACACAAATTTTTCCCCCTCAAATACCAACTACTAACGACGTAATATAAATACACGTCAAAAAAAATCCTCCATCGATGTCGAAACTTCAAAGTAAAAGAATCCAATTGATAAAAGATAAAAACACGCCCAGAAACGCGAAAACAGACGATCGAGCAATCAAGGAAAATTAAACACGGATCCGGTAATAAAAATCGAAAACAGAAAAGATAAACTGAGGACAAAATTCATCTAAAGCTCAAAAACACATAAAAATCTCAAAGGAGCGGAGTGTTTCTCCTCATCGAATTCATACCTTGGAGCTGAAGCACGAACCTGGGAAGGAACCAGTAACTCTGTTTAGGTTTAGTTTCGAAGTCGAGAAATTGCAATTTGACAAAGCTTCCACTCTCCGGTTCCTTTGCTCTCGGGCCGGATCCCTTTAGGGTCGGTCGGGTCGGGTAGCATTTTTCGTCTTAAAATCATTATATGCTCCTAACAAATCACAACTTGAATCAAATAATTTCAAAAAATTATTTTGTTTTTACATGGAATGGTTATCACACTGGCTTTACAAGAAGTTATCTAGAACGTTATATGCTTAAAAAATAGCGTCGGACTCGATATCAAGACAAATAAGACCGAAGCTACAGATGATTAGAAGGAGCATCAATGCAGTGTTTGAGTCGATCAGTATTCCAATAGCTAGATTTTGGTTGTTTCTACCTACATTAAGATTATTCCAATTATATCAACGGTGGTATTTTAGTTAATTTTAAACATTTGTTTGACAAGCTCGAGCTCGAACACTTTTTATATAGTTAAATTCGATTTCATTTCGCTAACAAATATTTACGTATCGTCATCAGTCTTACGGTTTTAAAACGCGTCTATTAGTGAGAGGTTACAAAAAAACATTGCACTCTCAAACGATGCTTAAATATATGAGATTTTATTATACGACAGAGGTATAATATTTTTATTTGATTTCCAACCAGTTTATTTTGATTTAGATATTACTTGAAACCCACTTTAAAATTTGCCAAAATTAGGTTGAAATTAAGGAAATGAAGGAGTTATGGAAGGCCAAGAATAGGGTTCTCCTAAGATCTTGGTTACCCATTTGAAGCATTTTGGGGACTATAAATGCCTTGTATTCTTTGTTCATTCTTCATCCCAACACCTTATTTCTCATAATAATAAGAAGAGAAAGAAGTCCTAATTTGGCCTTCTTTCTCTCCAACATCTTCCTCTCTCTCCCTTCTAAACATGGGTGGTTGCACTAGCAAGCCTAAAACCATGGACAAGAAGGAAGGCGTCCTCGTCCCTACCTCTGCTCCCGTTCTTGTTGTCGAGGAGACTGCAAGGAAGGAAGCAACATCGAAGAAGGAGAAGGATGTGAAGGTCGAAAATCGACAAAGAAAGTTTGATGATGATGAAGCTAATGAGAAGGTTGAGGTATACAAGAATTTCAATGGACCCTTTTGTTCTTATTTTGATACCAAATTTGAACTTTAGTCCTATGCTGCTCTATCAACCGGTGACATTATCCTTATTTTAATAGCAAACTCGTGACACGAATATTTTCAGTGATTTGCTCTACCAATTTTAATGGTTAATTCAATAGCTATACCTGCCATTTCATTTCAGTTCTTTATTTCCTAACTTCAGATTCATGGCCGTGTCTTTTCTTAGGGCAAAGCAACCGAAGAAGCAATCGAGGACAAAAAAGAAAAGCCTAAAGAAGACGCCAAGGTTCAAGCAGCATCGCCTGTAGCCACCACTGCCGCACCTGCGCTGCTCGAAGACAAAAATGCCGCCGTCGAAGTAGCGCCTGTCGTGCCTAAGAAACCCACCGTCGAGGCGCCGGTAGCAGACGGAAAACCCGCCGTCGAGGCGCCGGTAGCGGCCGAGAAACCCGCCGTCGAGGCGCCGGTAGAGGCAAAGAAGCCCGCCGTCGAGGCGCCGGTAGAGGCAATGAAGCCCGCCGTCGAGGCGCCGGTAGAGGCAATGAAGCCCGCCGTCGAGGCGCCGGTAGAGGCAATGAAGCCCGCCGTCGAGGCGCCGGTAGAGGCAAAGAAGCCCGCCGTCGAGGCGCCGGTAGAGGCAAAGAAGCCCGCCGTCGAGGCGCCGGTAGAGGCAAAGAAGCCCGCCGTCGAGGCGCCGGTAGAGGCAAAGAAGCCCGCCGTCGAGGCACCTGTAGAGGCAAAGAAGCCCGCCGTCGGGGCCCCGGTAGAGGCAAAGAAGCCCGCCGTCGGGGCCCCGGTAGAGGCAAAGAAGCCCGCCGTCGGGGCCCCGGTAGAGGCGGAGAAGCCCGCCGTCGGGGCCCCGGTAGAGGCGGAGAAGCCCGCCGTCGAGACACCAGTAGAGGCGGAGAAGCCCGCCGTCGAGACACCAGTAGAGGCGGAGAAGCCCGCCGTCGAGACACCAGTAGAGGCGGAGAAACCCGTCGTCGAGACACCAGTAGAGGCGGAGAAACCCGTCGTCGAGACACCAGTAGAGGCGGAGAAACCCACGATTAAGGTACCGGGAGAGGCAAAGGAACCAAGCGTTGAGGCGGCAGCGGCAGCATCAACAGCAGTGGCAGCGGATCATAAACATTAGCAGGAAAAACACAATGAATATTATTGGCATATGTAACATTTAATTCATTTCATTTAGAAAATTATTAACGGNAATGGCAATGCTTATAATTCTTTTATTCCATAACTTCCATCCCACTAGTTTTTTCCCCCAAATTAAATTTTATTTATTTAATTTTTTGCCACGTGGCCGATATTTAACTGGTGATTCCGAGAACTTCATTCATAAACATCATTTCTTGTATCGTATGCGCAGAAACGAACGAACCGAAAGATAAGATCTGAAACAGGGGCGGCGATGAAGAAATCTACGGCGGCGACAACGGTGGCGATCCTGTGCTTCATCCTACTCTCTGCGGCGGCGATGACGGTTTCAGCCGACGCCGCAGACTGCATCGACGGCTGCTTCACCGCCTGTGTCCAGAAAGACAGTGAGTATTTTTCATCTTCCGATTTCCTCTCTAAACTTCTTCCTTCTTCCAATTGAAACCCTAATTTGTTTCTCTTAGTGATTCTGAAAATCTCTGCGTTTTTCCTTTGTATGTAATTTCAGAAATTAGTTTTCGAATCTGTTAAAATTAGGGCTAAATTAACCTAAAAAAAAAACCCTAAATTTTATGGACGGAATATTAGATTCTTATAAAAAAAAATTCATTTAATAATTAAATAAATTATATGACCTAAAAAAAAGTAATAAAATAAATAAATAAAGTAACAAAAAGTTGGCTATGGTGCAGCGAGGCTGATGCAGCGTTGTGAGGGCAAGTGCAGGATTAAATGCGGTCCAGGTATTCAAATTAATTTCTATAATTTAATTTCAGATTTTTTTTAAAATTTCTTTTTTTAAAATTAATTTTAAAAAAGAAATTAGCGAGAGATTAACTAGTTAAATACATATATTAGTCTTATTGTCGTATGTATTATTGGTTATATTCGTTCGTAATTTAGAAACTTTATTAAATGTGTTTGCAGGTACTAAATTTGAAGGCGAAGATATTATTACTTAAAAGCAACTCGTTTCTTAATAATCATTGTCGTGTTTGAATTGTTGTGTGTTTCTATTTAGTATGCTTTAAATTTGGTTTGATAACTATTTGTTTTTTTTTTAGCGTTTATATATTTAACTTTATTAAATGAAAAATAATATAAAGGTAATTAGATTTGTAAGCTTTATGTATTATTATGTATATATTTTAGGGTATGGATAGTTATATTTAATATAACTATTATTTATATAATATTTTAAAAATTATATTATTTGATTTAAAAAAATTGTTGAGTAGGTTGAGATAAAGACGTAAAGCAAATAAAATGTGTAAGAAAATGTTATATAATATTTATTTATAATGATAAAAGCAGTAATAAATAATAATAATAATAATAAATATTTTTGAGGTTCCCAGAAGTTGCCTGATTTTCCACGGACCAATCGTTGCGTTAGCGTGGCAGTTCCTTTATTATGGTCAAAGTCAAACTCAAACCTAACGGATCAATCATATCGACCCGACCCGGTTTATTGGCTGACTTTCCTTTTTTTTTTTTCTAAAAAAAAAAATTTTAAATATATAAATTAAGAAATGAAATGGTAATTAATGCTTTTTTTTTTCAATGGAAATTATGGTTGAATTTTGTGGATTTTTCTCCTTTTTTTTTTAACGCAAAGAAAGAAATTCAAAAGGCATTTGGTCACTTTCCCATGTTTTAATTCTATTTTAACGGTTTTGACTTTTGACTTTTAGAAGAAGGGTAACCACGATGCATTACTATACAAGAGATCGAATGTCTCAAGCTTGATGTAGGTAAAACAATGAAAATGGTACACCTTAGATAAACTCGGGTCTCGAACAATATCCGTACAAAAGTCATAGATAAATTCAAGATCCAACCATCTTGATTTGAAATTATTAAAAATCAATTAATTATTTATATATATAAATATATAAATAAAAGAAAAGAGAAAAGGAATAAAATCACATGGGAGAGGGAGGAAGGAAGGAAGCAAGTAATGGAAAGTACAATTGACCTAAGTGAGAGGGACACACAATAGGAAGGACCGCAGAGGATCAAAACCCTCCAATGAACTATTTATTTTCCACGTCATCAGACAATATAAGGAAAAAGTCAAAGGCCCAAGTGGTGATGAATTGTTAGTGGGAATTATATTAATTGAAAAAAATGAGAGAGTTCAAATTCAATTTTCAATAATCACCCGAAACAAAAAGAACAGATTTTTTTTGTGAATTTTCCATTAGATATTACTTGAAAATGGGTGGAAAATGGAATCCAGTGTACCTATTTTGCCCTGGTCCTTGATTGTGAGCTAAATTCAATGACCCTTTGGGGTCCGCTCAAGAGAGAGAAAGATGAGAGAGAAAGAGGACTTTTTATTGCTCCAGACGACGACGACGACTCATTAAGGGTCTCATGTAAATGTTCAAATCCAAAGCCTTAATTTCACCTTACCTTCTTCGTGTTTCCATTTCTGGGTTTTGCTTCGATTCAGGTTTGTTCTTCAAAACCCACCTCTGTTCTTCTTTTACTTTCCAAACATTTTCCCAGATTCTCAAACCCTTTGATTTTCCTCCCAAAATGTTGGGGTTTCGGCTTTTTTAATGATGCCTTGTGCCTGTTTCTTTCAAGGGTTTTCTCTGTTCTAAAAGGTTCTTGACAGTTGTCTGTTCCTTGTTCTTTCTTTTACTCGCAGATCTTTCATCGTTTGTTCTTAGTTCAAAGTGTTTGATCTGAGTTTAGCTGACTGGTTGAGCTTGAAGCTTCTTTTACAGGTTTGTGTTTTGGGTTAATGGTGGAAATGAATGGCTTTAATCGCTTGGTTTCTTGATGTTTGAAGATGGGTTGTTCTTAATTCTTGCTAATTAGTTTAGTAAGTGCTTTCAGATGTTGAATTTTGACAAGTTTTGTGATTCTGTTGGTAATTTGCTGCACTTTCTGCTTGGTTGTGTTTGGATTTTTCTTGTGTTGAGGGGAAAAGCTTATGGATTCAGCTCTTTCATGTGTTAGATCTGTCTAGTTTCTTTAAAAGCCCAAGTTCACCGCTATAAGATATTGTCCTCTTTAGGCTTTCTCTTCAAGGTATAAAACTCGTTCGCTAGGGAGAGATTTCCACACCCTTGTAAAGGGTGTTTCATTCTTCTCCCCAACTAACGTGGGATCTCACAATCCACCCCTTTTCGGGGCCCAGTGTCCTCTTGACACTCGTTCCTTTCTCCAATCGACATGGGACCTCACCAAATTCACCCCTCTTCAGGGCTTAGTCTCCTCACTGACACATATGATGCTCGTTCCTTTCTCCCATCGATGTTGGACCCCCACCAAATTCACTCCTTTCAGGGCTCAGCGTCCTTGTTGGCACATCGTCTCATGTCCACCCCTTTTTAAGGCTCAGCGTCCTTGTTGGCACATCGTCTCATGTCCACCCCTCTTTAGGGCTCAGCCTCCTCGATGACACATCGCTCAGTGTCTAGCTCTGATAGAAACATTGTTATTTGGCTAGATTTTCCGTTTGGAATTGGTGGAGTAGTTTTGCTTTCCCTTGTAGAGAGCAATTAGGTTAGAGCTAAAGAGCCTTATTGAGTCATGCTTGTCAATCTTAGCCTCTTTAGACTTTATGTTGCACTCTAAAGCACCTTTCTTTTTGATTACTCATCTCTTTTCTTTCACTTTTGGCTCTTTTCTTGCTCTTTTTCCTCATCTTTTTGCCTTCATTTACAAGATTCTTAGGCACTTTATGAGTTGCTTTGTGTCCATCCGCAGCCATAGGCACATGACAACCGGTATATAAACTACCACGAAATTGTTGAAGAGGCATCGAGATTTACCATCGTTAGTTTTGAGTAAAATGTCATTCCGAAGTATAGTTCGTGATGTGAGGGATAGCATTGGGAGCTTATCTAGACGGGGTTTCGAGGTCAAGCTGAGTGGTCATCATAGAGGAAAGTCCAATGCATCGTCATTAAACGATCTACATGACCAGCCTCCTGTTGTTCAGAATGGCTGCTGGGCTAACCTTCCACCTGAGCTGTTGTATGATGTCATTCGAAGACTTGAAGAGAGTGAAAGCACATGGCCTTCACGACGGAACGTCGTTGCCTGTGCTGCGGTATGTCGTTCTTGGAGAGTTATGTGCATGGAGATCGTTAAAGGCCCCGAAATTTGTGGCAAGCTTACCTTCCCTGTGTCACTTAAGCAGGTACGTTTCTTTTAATATACCTAAAGAGAACTTCATACGCCAAATATTTTAAATTCCGTACTTATTGAACGTTTTTTTTTTTTCCTTCTTTTTAATCTTATAGCCCGGGCCGCGCGATACGTCGGTACAGTGCTTCATTAAGAGGGATAAATCCAGTCTAACATACCACCTCTACTTGTGTCTTAGCCCTGGTAAGAAATATGTTTGTGCCGTTCTTACCTCGATATGCTTATTTTTGGCATTACGACAGCAACGTTTTTCTGATTAAACTAAATGCTCACTCGACAAGGCTTTTCTGTCGTGTTTGTTATTAATCCTCAGTAAATAGGTTCGCCTTTTGTATCATTTTGTAGCATGCTTTTGTTCACTCGTTCGTCGAAGTTATACTTGTTTTATGCATTCCAAGGTCCCACGAAACCGTTGAAACACGAATGACCATGTTTTATGATCATTATTAGGCTTTTGAATTGCATTTAGCGACTTGTTCTGCTGTCGTTCCTGTTATTGTTGAGCTCGTTCTGTTTATAATTTACGGTACTTCGATCGTACAGCTCTGCTCGTCGAAAATGGGAAGTTTCTTCTTGCTGCCAAGCGTACACGAAGAACTACCAGTACAGAGTACGTTATCTCAACGGATGCAGATAACATTTCGAGATCTAGTAGCACGTACATCGGAAAGCTGAGGTGAGATTACACATACACGGACAAATAATGATTTTGATCGATAACTCTGTTAGAACGTTATCCCAATGGATCGTATTTTAGTTCGTAAACTGCATTTGTAAGAGTTTAATACTTTTCTTCGAAGTCGAGATTTAGGTGAAAAGTCAACATTTCTTTCCTGATTCAGCGTCCATGTTTATTTCCAGGTCGAATTTTCTTGGCACGAAATTCATTGTCTATGATACTCAACCACCATATGCCGCTGCTCCGCTCCCTCATCCCGGGAAAACTAGCCGTAGATTTTACTCGAAAAAGGTCTCGCCAAAAGTCCCAACTGGCAGTTACAACATAGCCCATATAAGTTACGAACTAAACGTCTTAGGCACACGAGGACCCCGAAGAATGCATTGTATAATGCATTCGATACCAGTAGCAGCTCTCGATGCAGGCGGTACAGTTCCAGGCCAACCCGAGCTCCTCCCACCCAACTCCCTCGACGACTCGTTTCGGAGTGCATCGTTCTCCAAGACACTAGATCATTCCATGGAGTTCAGTAGTGCAAGATTTTCCGAAATCGGCCGGGCAGCATTAGACGGCGACGGAGAGGGAAAGATGAGACCTTTAGTTCTTAAAAACAAGCCCCCAAGATGGCATGAACAGCTGCAATGTTGGTGTCTCAACTTTCGCGGGCGAGTAACCGTTGCATCGGTGAAGAACTTTCAGTTGATCGCCGCAACTCAGCCAGCTGCTGGCGCTCCAACACCGTCTCAACCAGGTCCTCCCGAGCACGACAAGATCATCCTACAGTTCGGGAAGGTCGGTAAAGACATGTTCACGATGGACTACCGATATCCGCTCTCGGCGTTTCAAGCCTTTGCAATATGCTTGAGTAGCTTTGATACCAAATTGGCTTGTGAATAAAGGAAAGTATCCAAAGCTGTTTTATGCCTCTTTTTTTAACTTTTGGATTTGAGTCTATTAGTTGTGTTCCTCTTTGTGTCGTTTCAGGGTTAGGTTTTAGTGAAATAGTTTGTTATTGTTGGGGGCATTTATGTAAAAGTCATAATTGTAACAGCTCTTACATGTGCAAACTCCATAACTTTTCAAAGAAATGAACACAATCCCCTTTTTACCCTTCTTTTTCTCTTTAAAATGCTTTGATAATAAAGTAAAAAAGACCCAAAGTCTTGGTTTTTATGTCCAAAAGTTTCTATAAAGATTAGTTGTTAGCCCTCACGATCAGAGAGAGGTATGAATATAAGAAATGTTTCGTTCTCTTCTCCGACTGGGATCTCACAGTCTACCCTCTTAGGGGTCAGCATCCTCCTTGACACGTTACTCGATGTTTGACTTTGATACCATTTGTAATAGTCTAAGCCTATCGCTAGTAGATATTGTCCGTTTTAGCCCATTATGTATCGTCGTCAGTTTTACGATTTTGAAACTCGTTTATTTGAGAGAAGTTTCTACACCCTTATAAGGAATGTTTCGTTCTCCTCTCCAACCGATGTGGGATCTCACCATCCACTCTATTGGTGGCTCAGTGTTGTCACTGATACACTGCCCACGACAAATATTGTTCTCTTTGACCCATTGCATATCGTCATCAACCTCACGGTTTTAAAACGCATATAGTAAGGAGAGGTTTCCACATCTTTAAAAGGAATGTTTCACTCTCGTCTTCTCCAACCGATGAGTAATCTCACACAACGAAACAAGACAATCCAATTGTTCTAACTCGAAATCAACTCAATCAAATCATGAACCAACCAACATCCACAAGATTTATAATTTGAATGTGATAACAAAGTTGCCAAAATAAAAAAAGAATAAAGGTTTGAGATTCTCCCAATTGTTTTTGTTTTAAAAATTGGGAATCAAAAAGCATTGCTTTTGAAGGACTCCTTTGCATGTGATGTTTTGCTTACTTCTTACTTTTTCTTTCTTTTTTTTTTTCTTTTTTTTTTTCTTTTTTTTTTTCTTTTTTTTTTTCTTTTTTTTTTTCTTTTTTTTTTTCTTTTTTTTTTTCTTTTTTTTTTTCTTTTTTTTTTTCTTTTTTTTTTTCTTTTTTTTTTTCTTTTTTTTTTTCTTTTTTTTTTTCTTTTTTTTTTTCTTTTTTTTTTTCTTTTTTTTTTTCTTTTTTTTTTTCTTTTTTTTTTTCTTTTTTTTTTTCTTTTTTTTTTTTTTGTGTACATTTTTCTTCTTCCTCTCAAAATCATTCCATCTCTGTTGACATTAAAAGACCAGAGAAAGAGAGTGAAGAAAAGAAGTGAGGGCAAAGAACAACAATCATAAGCTGAACCCATCAAATCCACATTGCTTTGAAGTCAACGACTGGTTCCTTGGACTTATCACTATCGAGCAATCCACCGACACCTGTTGTCATTCAAAATATTTGACTACACAACCATAAACAAAACCTCGTACAAAATCACAAGAACATAATAAAACATAACACGATAAATGCAACATAAACTCAGTGATAGCTAGTGGTTGAGTAGGACGTTTTCTTAAAAAAAAAAATATATATATATTTCCATGATTTTCATTATTCCTTGACACGATTCAATAGATCATTCAAACATACAAACATAGTATAATAGCGAGTAAAATGGAAATATACTTATATTTATAAAGGAGTAAGAGAATTTGAATCTACAACTTTAAACAATTAAACACAATGTGTATGTAAATGAGGTGATATTATAATTATTATATTAGGTTGATAAATAGAGACAAGATATGATGAGTAAAAGGATAAAGTAAATAGGTTAAATAAAATATTTAAAATGACTCCCAAATGTGAAAGGGTTGAAAAAAACAAAGCAGTTTTATTCGGTCGGTGTGGCCCACCATTTTGTCGTAAAGCAACTAAGCGGCACCGTTTTCATCGGCAGCGGTTTCCCAATGTTTTATCACTTTGACTTTTTAATATATATATATATATATATTACGGAAGAAAAACAAAATGTAAATATGATTAATAAATATATACACACATATACATATATTTAAAAAAAAACAACAATAAAAATTATTGAATTTAGAAGAAAAAATCACAATTATTATTGTCTAGTTCTTTTGGGATTGAGAATTATTTTGTATTAGCTAATTGAGGCATAGACTTTTGTACTTCTGTTTTTTATTCTTTTATTTTGTCTATTGTGCTAATTAAAAGTTGGATGTTTTTCTTTTTTAAAATAATAAAGTTCTATATGGATAATTCAAAGTATTAAACTAATAAATTGAAGATTTTTTATGAATAATAATAAATCCTTAAAACACACTGCCCCTACTATTATTAGCGCGGCTTCCTAATCACATTTATTTTTTCTATTAAAATATTAAAAAGTTTAATTATAAACTCTCCTTGCCATTTTAATTTAATTATAAACTTTAATCCACTAATATAAAATATACTTTTTTTTATAAAAAAAAAAATTAAATAAATAGGAAGGACAAATTTGATAGACTAAATGTTAAATTATAATTTTAAAACTTAAAAAAGTTATTAAAAAAAAAAAAAAAAAAAAAAAAAAGCGAAGCGGGAGGAAAATGCGTGCAAAAGAAGACGAGAAATGGGAAGAAAAAGGAACTGACCTGAACGCCAGGAGAATCGAACTCCAATACGCGGATCCTGGCGCCAACTTCGCCCAAAACCCTCAGTTCCACTCGATCGTTCAACGACGCGTCTCTGATCAAATCGGCGGCGTCTGCCTGAAGTAGATTCACTCGATCGACGGCGATCATTGCCTCCACTTCTCTCTGGCTGTGCGCCTCTTGGTAAAATCCAGGCACTATTGCTTTTCCTAGCGGAATCCCGCGGTACATCACTGTGAACCTTGAATTCCCGTATTTGATTCCGACCTTGTTTGGATTCACTGCCGTGAACAGCAATCGAATGTTGAGCGATAGCGCTGCGGAGGTCGTTGTCGGCGTCGGCGTTGTCACGGTCTGTGAATCGGCGGAGGATAAGGAGAAGAGATTCGGAGTGGTTATCCCCATATATTGAACACCGACTCGCTGGAGATCGAATTGAGGCTTCTTAGGCTTGACAGCGAGAACGACGACGAGGACGATCGCGAGAGCGAGGAGAGCGATGAAGGAGAAGAGGAGGCAGAGGCAGCAGCAGCAGCCTCGGAAGGAAGCCGATGAGGAAGATGACGTCGTGTCGTAACCAAAATGCTGCCGACGAGATAACGGTGGCGACGAGGGCGGAGACGGAAAGCGAGCATTCTGAGACTCGGAATTCGGCCTGGACGGTGGCATTGAAGGAAGAGGAGAATGGTGATTGTCGTGTTGGACATTAAAGGGAGCTCTTGACGGTGGCGGTGGAAGAGGACGGTGATTGTTGTTGCTTGGTCCTGCTCTTGCTCTTGACGGTGGCGGTGGAAGAGGACGCTGCGGGGGGTTATTGCGGGAGTTCACATTAGGCCGTGACGTCATCTCCTCCATGGTTGATTAAGCTCTGGTTTTCCTGTTTCAGTGAATCCCTTCGGTTTTTCTAGACAGGGAAAGAAACAGAGAGAAAGAGAGAGAGAGAGCTTGCAGTGAGAATGTGCGTGGCTTTGGATACTTTGCTTAATGCTCAACTAAAGCCACATTGTGTCAAAAGTAAAAGTTTCTGACTCTTATCTTCTATTTCCCTCTTTTTTTTTCTTGTTCATAATTACCTCAAACAAAAAATACAATTTCTTTCTATTATTGAGCTCAAATTTGATGCAAATTTGGTTTTAATTAGTTAAAAAGCACTTGATCTAAAGATAATCAAGAGCATTGCAACTATCCCATTTGATCAATAAACTGAAGCTTATATAGTAAGGTGCAGTAGCACTACCATATTTAGCTGAACATGCTCTTCCTAAGAAAACAATAGACAATAATTCATGGAGCATTTAACTACGTAACCTTTAGTTCAAAAAAGAGATGAGTTCAATTCACGATGGCCATCTAGAATTTAGCATCCCGAGATGTTTCATTGTCAAGCAAATATAGTAGGGTTTGACAAATTAGTTGAGGTGGGCGCTAACAGGTCCAAGTGCATCCCGGGATGTTTCCTTGTCAAGCAAATATAGTAGGGTTGGGCAGATTAGTAAAGGTGGGCACTAACAGGTCCAAGCGCATCCCGGGATGTTTTCTTGTCAAGCAAATATAGTAGGGTAGGCAGATTAGTCGAGGTGGGCGCTAACAAGTCCAAGCGCATCTTGAGTGTTTCTTTGTCAAGCAAATATAGTAGGGTTAGACAGATTAGTCGAGGTAGACGCTAACAGGTCCAAGCGCATCCTAAGACGTTTTCTTGTCAAGCAAATATAGTAGGGTTAGGTAGATTAGTCAAGGTGGGTGCTAACAGGTCCAAACGCATTCCGTAATGTTTCCTTGTGAAGCAAATATAGTAGGATTAGGCAGATTACTCGAGGTGGGCGCTAGCTAACCGGTCCAAGCACATCTCGAGATGTTTCCTTGTCAAGCAAATATAGTAGGGTTAGGTAGATTAGTCAAGGTGGACGCTAACCGGACCAAGCTCTTTCATGGATATCAAAAAGGGAAAAAAGAAGCTAAAGTAAATGGAATAAATTAATCCAAGAATGTGTCATTCTATATCTTGATTCAATCTCGAGTGATGGTTAATCAAAAGTTTATAATGGTCAATTACAACTAATCTTCAATAAATCCAAGGAAAAAGAAAAAGAAAAAGACGAATAATATTCAATAGAGAAAGAGATGGCCACATAAGTATGTTCTGTTATGATGTCATGAATTGAAACCAGGGGGGATTTTACTAAGTCATGGTCGGGACAAACTTAGTGACTAAGCATCCTACCAATTCTATGAAAGCTGTGAAAAAGTAACAAGAGTGTGTGGAACCCATTGGTACGACTTTAGAACACAACAATATTTTAAAAAAGCAAGAAGAATAAAACTAGTATCACAAATCAGGACAGATTCAAACACAAAAGCATAGGGCTAAATATGTACTTACTTCTTCTACTGCACAGCTTTGGGTTTGGACTCGCAACATTGGCTTCAGGTTTTGTGGGTTCCTCGCTCTTCGGGCGTCGAGTACGTCGTCTATCATGTCATCCTCCCCAATGTTAATATCTTCTGCATTATCCTTGTCCTCATCCTTGTCCTCGTTGTTGCTTCGCTGATTACATTGTCTATCATGTCATGTCGTCCTCCCCAACGTTAATATCCTCCATGTTATCCTCATACTCGTTGCTACACCGAGTACATCGTCTATCACGCCATCCGCCCCAACATTAATATCTTCCACATCATTCTCATCCTTGTTGTTGCCATGCAGAGTACATCGTCTATTATGTCATCCTCCCCAACGTTATTATCTTCCACATTATCCTTGTCCTCCACATTATCCTTGTCCTCATTGTTGCTACCCCAAGTACATCATCTATCATGTTGCCTTCCTCAACTTAATATCTTCCACATCATCCTCATCCTCGTTGTTGCAACGTCGAGTACATCGTATATTATGTCGTCCTCCCCAACGTTAATATCTTCCACATTATCCTTGTCCTCATTGTTGCTACCCCGAGTACATCATCTATTATGTTGTCCTCCCCAACTTAGTATCTTCCACATCATCCTCATCTTCGTTGTTGCAACGCCGAGTATATTGTCTATTATATCGTCCTCCCCAAGTTAATATCTACCACATTATCCTTCTCCTCATTGTTGCTACCCCGAGTACATCATCTATCATGTTGTCCTCCCCAACTTAGTATCTTCCACATCATCCTCATCTTCGTTGCAACGTCAAGTACATCGTCTATTATGTCGTCCTCCCCAACGTTTTCCACATTATCCTTGTCCTCATTCTTGCTACTCTGAGTACATCATCTATCATGTTGTCCTCCCCAGCTTAATATCTTCCACATCATCTTAATCCTCGTTGTTGCTACGCGGGTACATCGTCTATTATTTCATCCTACTCAACTTTAATATCTTCCACATTATCCTCGTCTTTTTCGTTGCGACCACCTGGGATGTTCCAATTCTGTCCATGGTTTCCTGCAATTTCCATACATCACTATGTCGTTCCTATCTGTTCTCCTATCTGTTCCTGATACTCATACAACTCCTCTCTTCTGGAGGCTTCCAATTCCATAAAAGCCTGAAATGCATTTGTGTAATACAATAAGTGGATGGACAAACATTTATGTTGACAACATGCAACTAAATATCCAGTTTATATTCCCAATGACACCATCAACAAGCAACCATCCACCACAAAAGAAATTATAAAACAGAACTTTGAGACCAAACCATCCTGGATATGATTAAAATATAGAAGTACATGAAAATTACCATCCTAGATGCTCTTTTATTTCCATCCAATCTAAACGATCCGCTCTGCCTCAAAAGATTTTGTTCCCCATCGTTCTGGTAGACTGCCATCACTCCCAGACGTTTCTTCCTGAGACTTTCTTGCATCCTCTCCTTTGGCTTCTTCATTTATCTCCTCCATCAATGCTCGAAAGTTATCTTGCTTCATTTCTAAGTTTACCAATCAATCGTTTCCTTGCAGCCAATCGTTTATAATCCGGAGTGGTTAATTTCTAATTTTAGCAACAAAACCCCGAGATTAGGCTTAAAAAATGTTAAGAATGCCCCAGAAAGAAATCAATTTCCAAGCCCCACCTTACAACGGCAGATGATAACCGCCGCTTAGTAGGAGTCTGGTTTTCAGCATCGTTCATTTCCGCCTGAAGCATAACACTCGAGTTATCGATACAATCATCAACGAAAAGAATTCATAAGGTTTTCAGCACAAATTTCTAAAATGATGCAATCAAAATTAAAACCAAGCTTCATGAGGCAGAAACATCGTTCATCTAACAAACTAGTCCATGTCCACGAAAACAATACTAAAAAGCATCACGACTAGAGAGAGATAGAACGATCATAAAATAAACAGAGCACCGACGAGGTCCATTAGTTGCGAAGTTTCTCCGAAGTCCGCGAGGATCACAAAGTAGTTCTGTAATGTGAAAAACCATCAATGCATCACTGAACAAGCGAAAAGAAGAAAGAATCCAACACAGAGAAGAACAAGAAGACGAAGACGAAGACGAAGAAGAAGATGAACCTCCCGGTGTTGACCTTGAAGCTCATCAATCTCCTTGCAAAAGATCCTCCTCCGTGTTCTCATGGCAGCGGCGTTACTTCCCATGGGAAGAATGTGGTATGGAACTCTGAACTGAGAGGAAGAAGAAAGCGGGAGGCTTCCCGGTGCTTCGTCTCTGCTTCGCGCAAAACACTTCCAAAACGGTGCCGTTTTTCATATACTCCAATGGACCCACAAATTAGTCGTGGCATTAACAAGTGGGCCCCACTACCAGAAGAAGAGATAGAAGAAACCGATTTTCCCGGTCCACCCACCACATATACAGTTCATCGATTTAATATTAACAAACAACGTCCACCGCGAATCCGCCATTACGGCTCTTCCTCATCCACGTGCCACCCATATCTCACGATCCGATTTCGATTGTCCTAAAAATCCAATCCTCCGCCTTCACCTCAACCGTCCCATTCAATTGAAATCGCCGTCCCTGTGCGTACTGTGTACCGGTTCCAAATTCTAAGCCGCGATGTTGAGCGGCGGTGTCGGCGGGGGAAGCGTTTACTGGGGATCGAGGAACGAGCCCAGGATTTGTAGAGGCGTTGTGGTTCTCTTCGCTTGGGTTTCGATTCAGCATCGCCACTTGGATAAGTTCGTCCAGCTTTACGCCTCGCTTGGATGGAATTCCCTTGTTTGTTATGCTGATTTTCTCAATATGTGAGTTCTTCTTTCTTGTTCTTCGTTAATACGCTTCATCGTATGAGGATTTGGGTATTAGGTTCATGAATGTTTTAGTCTGTCTTCTTCATCTAGGTTCTTCGGTTCTTGAATTGCGAGCTTTCCTATTTAGTTCTGAACAGATTTGAGGGGTTTTCGTTTTCTGTAAATACTTGGACCTGACCTGAAATTCCCATTTCATTTGGATTTGTTCTATCCCTCTATTTGTTCTTAAATGATTTATATTTAACATATTGTTCTGTTCTTGCTGACCGTAATACGTTCAGATTTGATCCTGAAAGAGCTACATCCCTGGCATTTCTTGTTCTTAATGAGCTCGTTGAGGTCAGTAGCATTTCTCTCTTATTTTGTATGCCTTTTCATTCGATGAATTTCTCAATGGCTACGATTTTGTAACGATATGGTTTAAATTGTTTCTCTACAGGAGCTAAGAATGAAGCTGCGTCCTGTAGTTTTTGTAGGTCTAAGTGGTGCATCAAAGGCTTGTATGTGCAGAGTTTTGCAGGTGACTTAGTTCACTTACAGAGAATTCTCCATCTAATGCTTAAATTTTCCATTGAATATGTAACTTTGATGCAACTGCTAACGTGTTAATGAATGAATTGCTGCATAAATTTCAGATCATTGAGGGAAGATGTGGCAGTCCACTTTACATGGTTAGCTTTTCATTGATTTATATTCTTTAAGTTTCTCTTTAAACAATGCTGCATTGTGTTATTAATTCGGTTTAGAATGATATTTTCGTCGCCTTCTTTTTACTGTGAAGGCGGAATGTCAAATGATCAGAGCTTGTGTTTCTGGGCACATCTATGATTCCAGTCCCATAGAGCTTATAAGTGACTTGGGCGCTCGATTTGCCATACATCCCGCTGTTCTAAAAGTGCCCGGATCGTCACAACTCATCTCCTGGCTTGCTAAAGGCGTCTCTTCTGGTCTTGATGCTCTATATCTTACTAGATTTGATTCACAGCGTGATGAGTATTGGCGGACACTGTGCTCATCTGTTGTAAGCTTCCTAATTTAGTTTTTAGCTTCCTGAACTTTGTTTCATATTCTGAAGTTAGTAAGTTTTCGTGCTTTTCTTAGAATATTGGTGCCCCATTTCTCATTATGTGCTCTGAGAAGGACGATCGTGCTCCTTATAAAGTTATCTGTGATTTCACCAAGAGTATTCAAGAATTAGGAGCTGATGTTCAGCTGGTAAAATTCAAAGACTCCCCACACTTAGGTTTGTCTCAAACTTATGTTTACTTTGTAGTACTTTCATGTAGAACAAAGGCATAGTTTAAGTTCTCTTGACTACCATGTCTATGAAGGTTATTGACAACTATGAGATCTCACATCGGTTGGAGAGGAGAACAAAACATTCCTTATATGGGTGTGGAAACCTCTTCCTAGCCAACACATTTTAAAACCTTGAGAGGAAGCCTTTGAAGGGAAAGCCCAAAGAGGTCAGGTTTGAGCTATTACAAATGGTATCAGAGCCAGTCACTAGGAGGAGGATGTTGGGGCCCCAAGAGGGGTGGATTGTGAGATCTCACATCGGTTGGAGAGGAGAACGAAGCATTCCTTATAAGGGTGGTGTGAAAACCTCTCCTTAGCAGACGCATTTTAAAACATTGAGGGGAAGCCCTTGAAGGGAAAGCCCAAAGGGGACAATATCTGCTAGCGGTGGGGTTGGACTGTTACAAATGGTGTCAGAGCCAGTCACCGGGCGGTGTGCCAACGAGGACACTGGGTCCCCAAAGGGGGTGGATTGTGAGATCCCACATCAGTTGGAGAGGGGATCGAAGCATTCTTTATAAGGATGTGAAAACCTCTCCCTAGCATACGCGTTTTAAAATCTTGAGGGGAAGCCCTTGAAGGAAAAGCTCAAAGAGGATAATATCTACTATCGGTGGGTTTAGGTTGTTACAATATCAGAAGAAATTGCCTGTTTTATATGATTGGTCGTGCTTTTTCCTTATTAGCCGGTAGAAATTTGTAGTTTGATGTTTAATTTCCTTTGTAAATCTTGAGTTCAACGTGCATAAACAAGATTTGAATGAGAGATTCTAGCAGCTTGTCTGATGTGATATCTATTTCATGTCAGGTCATTACAAAAATTACCCAGCTCAATATAGAGCTGCTGTGACCATATTTCTTGAGAAGGCATCATCAGTTTACTCCCACAAAATCCCACAATTTAAAGGAGAAAGAAGAGGAATGGAAGGCGATGGAATGCCTGAATTGATATGTGACCTTCAGAATGCAGCAGTTAATTCAAACCAGAGTTTTCGAAGAGTCGCAGTCGGGCCAAGTGATCACTTCTTCTTGCCAAGCTCAGCAGATTCCCAGGACGGTCGGGAGCATCATCCTCCCATGCATGATCAGAAAGAAAGAATATCTCCACTTTCAAGCCCCCAAGGAATCAGTGCACACAGCGTACTCGGCCAGTTCCTCTTCGACGTTTGTGTGCCCAAAAATGTTGAAGGTTGGGACATCAAGTTCCACGGCTCTCTGAACGGGCAACCACTTGCTTCAGCTCGCAGGCACTCTCCCTTCCCCGTTTCAAAGCTTATCCGTCGCTCTAGACTGTGAAAAACTGGGGTTTTAGCTGTGTGAGTTTATTATCATCTAACCTATAGCTACCACATCTAGTTCAAATACTAGCCAGAGAATCCCTCCCTTATGGTACTATTAGCAATATTAGGAGGTTGTACCTCTGTGGGGACGAAAGGGTGGCTCAGTGTCGTTGTATCCTCGGGCACTGGTAAAGGCATAGAAGTTTCAGACTGCTCTATGGAGCGATAGGTTGCGACGACAGGCTCGGAAATAGGTTAGAGAAGTGTTGTATGATGACGATGATGATACACAGTAGCAGGGTTTTTTGTTGATAGAGTTTAGTGTAGAGAAGGAAGTGTAAAAAGAGAACCCCCACTCCACTCTGTTGACAGAACTGTTAGTTGGAAGTTTGAATAATGTATATACTTCAACTGAACAAACAACCAAGATTAGCAATTATGATCGCACATATATTCATTTTAACGATACGAGACAAGTTTTTGAGTGATTTTGAGAATAGTATTAATCTAATTTGAAGTTAAATCCTAAGACATTTAAACTACATTTGAAATAACTTTCACGTCAGAAATCTCAATACGAATATAACTTGCATGTTCGGTTTAGGTGGTTTATGCTCAGTAGAACATAATTTATATGTTTGGTTTAAGCAATGATGGTAAATAGAAAGAAGTAGCACAATAAAAGCAAAATATTAGTAAGAAGTAAAATATTAGTAAAAATAGGATTAGGCACAAAGAGTGAAACATTAGATTTAGGTATTAGTAAAAATAGAGAAGTTTAGGTCGTGTAGAAAAAGTAAAATAGCACAAAAGAGTGAAACATTAGTAGGTATTAGTAAAAATAGAGAAGTTTTAGGCAGAAAAAGTAAAATATTAATAAAAAAAATAGAATATAGGAGTTAGAGAGATTTAGGCCTAATAAATAGAAGAAGAATGAAATATTAGTAAAAAATAGAATAACCAGATTTAGAGAGATTTAGGGATAATATAAAAAAAAAAGTAAAATATTAGTAAAAATAAAACATAAAAGTAAACACAGTAGAAATAAAATGAAATATTAGTAAAAAATATAATAGAGAGATTTAAACACAGTATAAAGAAATGAAATATTAGTAAAAAATAGAATAGAGGAGTTTAAAGAGATTTAGATAGTACACAGAAGTGAAATATTAATAAAAATAGAAAGGTTTAAAATAGAGAGGTTTAGATATAACATAGAAATGAAATATTAGTAAAAGAGGTTTAGACATTCTAAGATAGGAAATATTAGTAAAAAATTAGAATAGAAAAGTTTAAACACAGTGAAATATTAGTAAAAATAGAGAGGTTTACCTTAAAAAGTGAAACATTAGTAAAAATGAAGGTTTAGAGATGTTTAGGCACAGAGAAAGAAATGAAATATTAGTACAAAATATAACAGATTTAGAGAGATTTAAAGAGATTTAGACTGTAGAAAGGAATGAAATATTAGTAAAAATAGAAATGTTTAGACACAGTCAAATATTAGTAAAAATAGAGAGATTTAGGTACGGGTATAAAGAAGTGAAATATTAGTAAAACTACAGAGATTTAGGTACAGTATAAAGAAGTGAAATATTAGTAAAACTACAGAGATTTAGGTACAGTATAAAGAAGTGAAATATTAGTAAAAATAGAGAAATTTAAGTACAGTATAAATAAGTGAAATATTAGTAAAAATAGAGAGATTTAGTTACGGTATAAAGAAGTGAAATATTAGTAAAATTAGAGAGATTTAGGTACAGTGGAAAGAAGTGAAATATTAGTAAAACTACAGAGATTTAGGTACAGTATAAAGAAGTGAAATATTAGTAAAAATAGAGAAATTTAGGTACAGTATAACGAAGTGAAATATTAGTAAAAATAGAGAGATTTAGGTAGAGTATAACAAGTGAAATATTAGTAAAAATAGAGAGATTTAGGTAGAGTATAACTAAGTGAAATATTAGTAAAAATAGAGAGATTTAGGTACAGTATAACAAAGTGAAATATTAGTAAAAATAGAGAGATTTAGGTACCGTACAAAGAAGTGAAATATTAGTAAAAATAGAGAGATTTAGGTACAGTGAAAGAAGTGAAATATTAGTAAAACTAGAGAGATTTAGGTAGTATAAGTGAAATATTAGTAAAAATAGAGAGATTTAGGTACAGTATAAGAAGTGAAATATTAGTAAAAATAGAGAAATTTAGGTACAGTATAAAGAAGTGAAATATTAATAAAAATAGAGAGATTTAGGTACATTATAAAGAGTGAAATATTAATAAAAAATAGAGAGATTTAGGTACAGTATAAAGAAGTGAAATATGAGAAAAAAATAGAGAGATTTAAGTACAGTGAAAGAAGTGAAATATTAGTAAAACTAGAGAGATTTAGGTACATAAAGTATAAGTGAAATATTAGTAAAAATAGAGAGATTTAGGTATAAAGTATAAGTGAAATATTAGTAAAAATAGAGAGATTTAGGTATAAAGTATAAGTGAAATATTAGTAAAAATAGAGATATTTAGGTATAAAGTATAAGTGAAATATTAGTAAAAATAGAGAGATTTAGGTACGGTATAAAGAAGTGAAATATTAGTAAAAATAGAGAAATTTAGGTACATTCTAAAGAAGTGAAATATTAGTAAAAATAGAGAGATTTAGGTAAGTGAAGTGAAATAGAGAGATTTAGGTGAGTGAAGTGAAATAGAGAGATTTAGGTAAGTGAAGTGAAATAGAGAGATTTAGGTAAGTGAAGTGAAATAGAGAGATTTAGGTAAGTGAAGTGAAATAGAGAGATTTAGGTAAGTGAAGTGAAATATGAGTAAAAATAGAGAGATTTAGGTACAGTGAAAGGAGTGAAATATTAGTAAAACTAGAGAGATCTAGGTAAAGTATAAAGAAGTGAAATATTAGTAAAAATAGAGAGATTTAGATACAGAGCAAAAAAAAAAGTGAAAAATTAGTAAAAATAGAGAGATTTAGGTAGAATAGAAATAAATATTAATAAAAAATGGAGAGATTTAGTTACAGTGCAGTGAAATATTATATAGAGATTTAGGTACCGTGTAAAAGAGTGAAATATTAGTAAAAATGGAGAGATTTAGTTACCGTGTAAAAGAATGAAATATTAGAGATTTAGGTATAGTAGAAGAAGTGAAATATTAGTAAAAGTAGAAGAAGTAAAATATTAGTAAAAATAGAGAGATTTTGGTAGAGTGATTTAGGTACAGGGAAAAAAAATGAAATATTAGTAAAAATACACTGATTTAGGTAAGTAGAAGAAGTGAAATATTAGTAAGAGTAGTGAAATATTAATAAAGATAGAGAGATTTAGGTAAGTGTAAAAAAAGTAAAATATTAGTAAAAATACATAGATTTAAGTACAGTAGAAAGGAATGAAATACAATGTGAAATATTAATAAAAAATACAGATTTAGGTACAGGAGTAAAATATTAGTAAAAATAGATAGAGAAAAAAAAAAGAGTGAAATAGATAGATTTATGTGAGTAGAAAATAGTGAAATATTAGTAAAAATACAAAGGTACAAGAAAGACCTGAAATATTAGTAAAAATAGGGAGATTTAGGTAAAATAATAAAAATTATGATAGGGAGGTTTAGAAATAGTAGAAAGAAAAAAATATTAATAAAATAGAGAGATTTAGGTGAATATTATTAGTAAAAATAAAAAAAAAATGAAATATTAATAAAGACAGAAATTTAAATATTAATAGAAAGATTTAAATAAAAATGAGTGAAATATACCTGAACCATAGAAATTAGTTAAATATTAGTAAAAAATATAATAGAGAGATTTGGAGAAAGGACTGATTATTAGTAAAAAGGTAGAAATTTAGTTAGGAAGTTTAAAATAAGTATCAGGTTACTATAGAGGTTTAGAAAAAATATACTATCACGTACCTATAAATAGAAACACATGAAATATTAGTAAAAATAAAAAGATTTAGAAAGATTTAGACATATATCAAGTTACTGTCAATATAAACACATGAATATTAGTAAAAATAGAGAGATAAAGAAACACAGGATCATAGTTCCTATAAATAGAAAATAGAGAGGATTAAACACCGATAAAAACGTATCAAAATTCTTATAAATAGAAAATAGAGGATTAGACACAGTAAAACTCCTATAAATAGAAAACATAGAGACATTTATTCCTATAAATAAAAAATGGAGTCGTTTAGTTCCTATAAATAGAAAATAGAGAGGTTTAAAGATAAAAACATATCAAAATTCTTATAAATAGAAAATAGAGGATTAGATACAGTAAAACTCCTGTAAATTGAAAACATGAGATATTTATTCCTATAAATAAAACACATGTGAAAATAGAGTCGTTTAGTTCCTATAAATAGAAACATGTGAAAATAGAGTCGTTTAGTTCCTATAAATAGAAACATGTGAAAATATTACTAAAAACAAAAGAAAAGAAAGTCGTTTAGTTCCAGAAACATGTGAAAATAGAGTCGTTTAGTTCCTATAAATAGAAACATGTGAAAATATTACTAAAAACAAAAGAAAAGAAAGTCGTTTAGTTCCTATAAATAGAAACATGTGAAATATTATTAAAAACAAAAAAGTTTAGACGAAAAACACATGATTCAAAGGTGATCAGTATTTCTATAAACAAAAGATAAAGAAATACATGATTAAACAAAAGATAAAGAAATTGATTAGAGTAATATTACTAAAAACGGAGAAGTTTAGACACATAAGAAAAAAACACATGATCAGGATTCCTATAAACAGAAAATAAAGAGTCAGAGGATTAGTTCTTATAAATAGAAAAATATTACTAAAAACAGAGAAGATTAGATACAAAGTTTTTATAAATAGAAACACTGAAATATCTCTAAAAACAGGGAAGATTAGACACAAAATAAAGACACATGATCAGTATTCCTATAAGCAGAGAAACACAACCACAAAACACAGGATCAGGATTCCTATAAACAGAGAATAAAGAAACACAATCACAGTAAGAAAATAGAAAGAAACACAATCACAGTAAGAAAATAGAAAGAAACACAGAGAAGAGAAGTACACAAACATAATAACAAAATAGAAAGAAATATAGAGAAGAAAAGTTTAGACACATAAAGAAAAAACACATGATCATATTCTTATAAACAGAAAATAAAGAAACACATGATCAGAATTGGAGGTTCAGTTCCTATAAATAGAAACACTGAAATATTACTAAAACGGATAAGTTTAAACACAAGAAAAAACACATGATCACTATTCAATAAAGAAACACAGACACATTAGAAAGAAACACAAGTTTAGACACAGAAAAAACACATGATCAGGATTTTTATAAACACAATAAAAAGTAAAAAGGAACACAGAGACACATAAGAAGAAAAAACACATTATCAGATTCTTATAAACAGAAAATAAAGAAACACATGATAAGAGTAGAAGTTTGGTTCCTATAAATAGAAACACTGAAATATTACTAAAAACAGGGAAGGTTAAACACAAAAGTAAAAATACATGATCAAATCACAATTACTCTAAAGAGAAAATAAACAAACACAACCATAGTAGAAAGAAACAACACAAATTTAGACAAACACAGACACAGTAGAAAGAAACAACACAAATTTAGACACAGAAGAAAAAACACATGATCAGGATTCCTATAAACAGAAAATAGAGAGATTTAGATACATTAAGATCAGTTTTCATAAATTGGAATACAAACACCTAAAATAGGAGTAAAAATAGGGAGATTTATATAAAACAGTAGAAAGGAATAAGGAACAAGGAACAGAGTACTGATACAATACAGAGAACAGAAAACAGAAGAGAAGAACTCTAATAGATATCAGATAATACCTCAAAAACATATGACAAGATTTAAATATTATGTTGGTCTCGCCTTAATCTTTACTTTCACTCATTAAGCATAAATTTCATATGAACTAAATTGTAAAAAAATGTTAAGAGGTTGGTGTCATTGTAGAGTTCCGTCATACGATTTCTCCATTCCTGCCCGTTGGATGCGAATAATGATCTCGAAAGGGAGTGACCAGTAGCACTGACCAGGCCGTTCGTTGTCTTGGAACAGTGCGAACAAGTGGGTCCCCTTACTTCATTTCATTTCATCATCCTCCATACCAATACTCATTCTTCAGAATCACACAGAAATTTCCGCCCCTTACTCTCCCAAGGTCCATTTTCCTCTGTTCTCTTTCTTCTCTGTTTTGCATTTCGGATTCTGCCTGTTCTAAGCTTTCATTTTCTTTGTGTTTCCTTTTCTAGATGAATCGGGGTAGACCAAGGAAGGAGAAGCTGTTTAGGAGAAAATCTTGGGCCTCAATAACACCACCGGGTACCAGTTATGATCAAGTGAGTGATACCCAGTTCACAGTTTCTCTCTGTTTTTGTATGCTCTGTTCTCTTCTGGGTCGCCGTTGTTCTAATCAGAAATGGAGTTTGTTCTGATTTTAATAATACCTAATGGAATGTTTGCCTTCAAACTTTGTTCTGAAGAACCCTTTTAAGATGTCGTTGTCATTTTCAAGCCCCATGAAGTGTGTGATGGAGTTTGAAAATGATAACTCTGACATGCAGACGAATTGGTTGTAATAATGCCTGTAAGGCTAGAGATGGCACATGCAATTGCTCCACTTGAGTCAATCTATGAGTTTGAGCTGCTGGGATGCATGAACTTGTGGTAGACTTCTAGTTGAAGTTTTGGAATAGATAGCAGCTGAGTTTTCTCTTCTTTGGTGTTAGTGATTACATGACTGATTCAATTTTGCTTAGATTTGTGATGCATGTTTGTTTCTCTCTTTTCTCGTCTTTACTTTATACTTTATACATGTAGCCGTCCAATCTCACCGCTAACAGATATTGTCCTCTTTGTGCTTTCCCTTTCCAACTTTCACGTCTCCTAGGGAGAGGTTTCCAGACAGTGGGCGATGGAGGAGAACGAAGCATTCTTTTAAGGGTGTGGAAACCTCTCCCTAGCAAACTCGTTTTAAAAACTTTGACATGCACTAGCAATCTCAGTCTGGTACTGACTTCCAAGTGAACTTTGATTGACATGCACTAGCAATCTCAGTCCTGTACTGACTTCCAAGTGAATTTTGATTGACATGCACTGGTTTGCTTGTCTTGTACCATGGGATTCTTCAATCTTCTTAATCCATGGTTATGATGCTTATGAATTTTGATTGACATGCACTGGTTTGCTTGTCTTGTACCATGGGATTCTTCAATCTTCTTAATCCATGGTTATGATGCTTATGATATACTTCGGACAGCTGATAAACAATGATGATTTTGTTTGAGTGCTTCTTTGGTGAGTCAAGCCATCCATGTCTGGGGCTTATAATCACTCTTCGTTTATCATGTAACGGCCCAAGCCCCCCGCTAACAGATATTGTCCTCTTTGGGCTTTTTCTTTCGGGCTTCCCTTCAAGGCTTTTAAAACGCATCTACTAATGAGAGGTTTCTACCCCCTTAAAAAGAATGCTTCGTTCTCCTCCCCAACCGATGTGGGATCTCACATGCAATCTCTCCATGGAACCCATTCCTTCTAGACCGCTATAATTTTTTGAAATAGATTCTCCTTTTTGCATCTATATCAGATTTATATCTTCCATCTGGAATATTCTTGCATTTTATGATATCTACCTTTTTCATGTGATTTTATACTGAACAAAAGTTTGCAAAATTCTTGATCAGGAAACGGCTCAAAGCTTTTCACACCCTAGAAGGTACGAGGTCACATTACAATTATATGCATGCAGCTATCTTCGAATCTTATCTTATGTCATTTACTTGTAGTGTAAAATTCAAAAGAACAACCATTGATAGCATATACAATGATCGCCAATCTCGTTCCATTGTTATGGCACAAGCAAAGGAGGTTCAAGCAAAACTGCCCCCTGGTTATCCCAGTTTTATTAAGGTTATGCTCCCATCACATATCACCGGAGGATTTTGGCTGGTAAGCTGACTTGCTATTAACTTGTATCCAAAATGTCGATTACTACAGCAAATCCTTTGATCATTGCGCGTTGTGGCCGCAGGGTCTTCCAAGGGGATTCTGTGATAGCCATTTGCCAAGGCAGGATACTGCAATGATCTTACAAGATGAAAGTGGAATGGGATTTCAAACAAAGTATCTATCTGAAAAAACAGGGTTGAGTGCTGGATGGAGAGGTTTCTCACTGGCTCACAACTTACAGCAAGGAGATGTTCTAGTTTTCCATTTGGTTATGCCTAACAAGTTTATGGTAACTGTTCCTCTAGCTTCATTTGATTTTTCTTATCAATTGTTTCGCACCTTCCATAACTGGTCGAGTAGTAGGTGTTGAAGTTCAACGTTAGGAAACGTTCAACTTCGATGAAGATCTTGATAACATAATAGTTAAAATTAGCTTAAGTTCTTCAGTTGGTTGAGTTGAGTGATGATTTAACAAGGTATCAGAGGAAACCGGTTAGTATTCAAACCCATTTAATATTGATATATAAGATTAAATTTATCATAACCCATCATCCTAAAGCTTATGGGTGGAGATATGATTCAATAAAATAGGTCGCTACGAAGAAAACTTGGGATCAGTCATTCGGGTGCCAACATTTTTACTCGGTTTTTGAGATTTAAGTGTTTTAGATCTCTCGTGGTCGTTTGTCCCTGCTGTTTTTAGGTTTACATTGTGAGATCCAATGCTGTAGCTGAGGATGGTGGTGCTCCAGGCTTTGAACCGGTTAGTATTCAAACCCATTTAATATTGATATAAGATTAAATTTATCATAACCCATCATCCTAAGCTTATGGGTGGAGAGATGATTCGATAAAATAGGTTGCTACGAAGAAAACTTAGGATCAGTCATTCGGGTGCCAACTTTTTTTACTCAGTTTTTGAGATTTAAGTGTTTTAGATCTCTCAGTGGTCGTCTGTCCCTGCTGTTTTTAGGTTTACATTGTGAGATCCAATGCTGTAGCTGAGGATGGTGGTGCTCCAGGCTTTGAACGTAGGGCCTACAATAAACAAACACCTCTTTGTAAGTTTTGTTTTATACTTCTATATTTGGGACAATACGAGCTCTCCGTGCTGATAGATTTCGTTCAACAATGTAGATAGCAAAGAAAATGTTCCTTATATGAAGGAGAAACAAATGGCCCTTGACAATGTAAATAGCAAAGAGGCAGACATCCATCCCGTGAAAAATGAAGAATGCGACAATCCCGTCTCCCTTGCAATAGATATCCATAAAGATCACGGGCAAACAAGTGATCGTGTGCATAAAGATACTGAGATGATGCCTGTGCTAGAAGAGTCTGAAAACAACAGAAACAGTTTTGGTTCCAACTCTATGAACGGAATTCGTTTATCGAACTCTACTCCAGATTTCGAAAAAGTGAAGAGTTTGAATGATTTCATCATTTCAGTCAATGGCTTGATCATCGACTCCGAGTTCTCCAGTCACGTTAGAGCAAAATACTTCGAGCTATGCTCTAGTCAGAAAGCATTTCTTCACGAGCATATCCTTGAGGGTCTGAACTACAAACTTGTTTCAGGAATTATATCAGAGACCATCAACATAGCTGATGCCATTAGAGCATGCAAGGTTGGCAGCACCTCACAAGAACATTTTACTACTTGGGACAAAAGTCTGACAGCCTTTGAAGGTCTAGGAATGAACGTGGCGTTTCTTCGATCTCGAATCTACCGATTACTGACTCTCTCAATAAAAATAGAGATGAAAAGAAAAGCGGAGCTGAAACGGGACTCAACACAAGAGGAAATACGAACGCTTGTAGCGAAAATCATGGAAGCAAGATCTGCTGTAAAGCAACTAGAAGCTGAAATTCAGTGTCTGGAGAACACTGATGGTGGTGGGAATATGGAGACATTGTTCAAGGAAGTGGCCAGTGCCCCTTGGTAGTGTGGAAGGGATGATGTACAAATTGCAGAGAAGGTTCTTCGTGGGTGTGAACAGTAGGTTTATTTTGTGCTGTAATGTATCAAACTTTTTGCCATAACTTTTTTTAGTTTCATGATGCATTTGGATATTTTCTGTCTTTTTCTCTCTTTGGTTGAAATAAAAATTAGTTATGAAACAAAAATGGAGTATTTATTGTGAAAATTCGAAAAAAAAAAGGAAAATTTGCCCCCATGCAGGATCGAACTACAGACCTTCAGTTTACAAGACTGACGCTCTACCACTGAGCTATAGGGGCATCTTGCTATTCACGGTGAAATAAAATATATAAAATCTAAAGAAAAAGTAAGTATAAATATGGTAAATAGTATTGGGTCAAATAAATTAATTCATTGTAAAAAAACTAAATAAATTGACCGTTGCTTTTTACGATAATAATATATTTACTAGTTGAATTATGCTCATAAATGGACATAAATTATTCTGACAAAGACGATTACCCGACCCTATTACATAACATTATATATTAAATCTTAAATAGGATGGTCATCGTGACTTAAGCACATATTTTCTAGATTTTTTATTATTAACCTCCCTAGTAGATGCATTTTAAAATTGTAAAATTGTGAGTCTAACGGCGATATGTAACGGGCTAAGACGGACAATATCTACTATGGAGCTCGTGAAACTAAATGCAAACGTTATTGATATATGAAAACGCACATCGGTCTCTTTACTATATATTAAACTAAACTAAAAATAATAATTGAAATGGACAGTCAACAGAGTTCCTGCAACACATGGTTTTGGAGATTTCTCAGCAGCCACCATAGTCTATAGATGAACTCTGTAACCAATCTTATTGCTGTTTCTTTTCAACAAAGAAAATGGGATTCATTGTTCATCCATGAGGCTTCCCTGCATGGTTTTTTGGATCTTTAGAACTTTGCAGCGGAATTAGCTTACGTTGTTCTTGTTCTTGTTCTTGTTCTTGTTCTTGTTCTTGTTCTTGTTCTTGTTCTTGTTCTTGCACGGCTGCTCCGAAGTTGGTATCATTTTCAGGATCAGAGCTTTGGCTTGGGTTCAATGAAGGTTGGATCAATGCAAACAACAACCTGTTTTGTTTTGTTTTGACCCAAAGTATTTGTTTCAGAGTAGGTTGTAGTAACAGAACTATTTGGAAGTTCATACATTCTGAACATTGTTCCAGAGAAAGAGAAAGCTATACCTTTCCAACACTTTTGCCCGAATGAAGATATTCAACAGCGTCTACGACGGATTGGACGCCTAAAAACCTTTTCGGATCCACGGAAACCTGTACAGATGATTTTGATCACCAACGTTGAAAGAAGTAACAAAGGATGTATTAGAATTTCAGTGAGATATTGTCCATGTAAATTTTCTGCAGTATATCATATTTGTAACCGCCCAAGCCCACCGCTAACAGATATTGTCCTCTTTGAGCTTTCCCTCAAGGTTTTAAAACGCATCTGATAAGGAGACAATTCTACACCCTTATAAAGAATGTTTCGTTCTCCTCTCCAACCGATGTGGGATCTCATAATCCACCCTTCTTCGGGGCCCAACATTCTTGCTGGCACTCGTTCCCTTCTCCAATCGATGTGGGATCTCACAATATTGGTGAGCAGTGATATAGAATATGCTCGCTACGTCTAAGTATATTAATCTTTGTCTAGTAAGTAAAGAACCACACGAGAACTGACACGATCACGATAAATGGGCAGTTCAAAGCAGAGAGCTTAAGCAATACCTTCAGTTTGCCTGAGGAGAAAAGACGAAAGAGTGTATCCAAATGTTGTTGCCAGAGGTGAGCATATTGTATGAGGAAGAACCCAGCCTGAAGATTAAGAACTCAAAGTGAAGCAGGTAAGATTTTTTGTTTCGAAAGTCGGAACATAACAGTCATTATCGAGTTTTTATCGAATCTAAGGATACGGAAACATACAATAGTTTGGCTCTTCTTCAGAATTTTCTCACAAATTCCTGGGTAATTTGATGGCTCCCACCCTTGTTCACCTTGATACTGAAACAACGCAGCAAGAAATTCAAAACAGGAACAGACTAACTCGATTATACATGTGGGGTCAAGATTTAAACCTATGACTTTATGGAAGAATTAGAGATTTCTTAATCGCTGAGCTATGAACAACAAAATTACTAGAAACGAGAAAAAGTAGAGGAAGATCATCTGATCCTAAACAAGGATTTATTACAGGTTCTGCTCTTGTGATATCCAAAGTAAAATATTGGAGCCAGTGCTTCTTTAATTCAATTTGTGGATCATTCAAGTATAAAACAACAGGATGAACATAGGAAACTTCTTGAAAACTAACCTGTGAGATCATTCCGATCACAATTAGTCGTCCGTAGACTGCCAATGCATTCAAGCACAGACTAAACATATCGCCTCCGACCGATTCATAGATGATATCGACGCCTTTAGGATACTCTGTCTTTAAAACCTGGAGAACTGAGAACCATAAATATGCCTCTCCTTGAAATAAATTTATAGTTAATTAAAACTATGGGAAAGCAAGCAAAGCTTTTGTAACACCCCAAGCCGACCGCTAGTAAATATTGTCTGCTTTGGTCTATTATGTATCGCCGTCAGCCTCACGGTTTTAAAATTCGTCTATTAGGGAGAAGTTTCTACACCTTTATAAAGAATACTTCATTCCCCTTTCCAACCGAGGTGAGATTTCATAATCCACCCCATCTTGGGGGGCCAGCGTCCACGCTGGCACACCGCCCAATGTATGGCTCTAATACGTAACGGACTAGAGGAGACAATATCAATTAGCGGCAGGCTTGGGTGGTTACAGCTTTCCTTTCAGTTTCTACTTAGCACCTGCACTAAACAATAAAACTCGGAAAAAAGATCATGAAAAATTTTAAATGATTTTCGAAACGTACAGTTTTAATGTCTTCAGATCTGTAATCTATAACTCGATCAACTCCCAATTGTTTCAAAAGCGTGGCTTTGTCCTTACCACCACATGTTGCAACAACCTTATTTCCAGCTAACTTGGCAAGCTGTACCAGGATGGAGGTGAGTTAGAAGGAATTTTCTCATAGGACTAAACAAAAAAAATTCCAATCTACATAGTTGAGATATCTCTTAACATCCTTTTAAATATGATCAAACCTGGACAGCGAATTGGCCAGTCCCTCCAGCAGCAGCAGTAACAAGAACAACCTTTCCAGATTCCATTTGCGCTGCCTAAATCAACGGTGGAAGCAGAAATTATCAGCATACAAGAGAACTAACATTTAAGTGAAGCATAAAATGATCAGAGAATTTCGTGCAAAAAACAGAAGTTGATAAGATTTGTTAGTAGAAAACGTAATTAAATCAGTCAGCAGAAGGAAATGGTCACAATTTTCAGCAAAAACCTTTTCGAGAGCAATTGATGCTGTTAATCCTGAAGTCAGCATGGCAACAACTTCTGGATCGGGTCTTGCAACAGGAAGGATATGTTTTGAATGAACCTACTCAAGTGAAAACAAAAGCATCAATAACCACAAAGATAGTTGTCGGTACATACTCCCGACATTGACAATTGCAATATATTCTTTTTGACAAGTGAAAATTTTTCATTTGATGATAAGAAAAAATAACATCCCAAACCCATCACTAGCTAATATTGTCCGCTTTAGCCTGTTACATAACGCTGTCAGCCTCACGGTTTTAAAACGCGGCTACTAAGGAGAGGATTTCACACCCTTATAAGGAATGTTTCGTTCCCCTCTCCAACCGATGTGGGATCTCACAATCCACCCCCCTTGGGGACCAAACGTCCTTATTGGCACACCGCTCAGTGTCTGGCTCCAATACCATTTATAACATCCCAAGCCACTGTTGTTACAGAACAAACTAGGAGCATTACAACAAACCATTAGGCAGCACTGAAACAACCCAGAAATAAAACTCCACAAAGAAATCATCCAAAATCATTGACATATGCAATCATAATCATCTTATAAGTTTGAGATTGAAGAACTTGAAAACAAACTATGCATATAGATGAGCAAATCATCCCAAGCGACAACTATAGAGCCAAAGTTTATAAAAGAACTTCACCGTCACAAACTCAGCATAACTTCCAAATGTCATCATTGCTGCAGGAGTTCCAACTTTCAGGTGATTGACAGAATCACCAACAGCTGCAATTATTCCCACACCCTGGAATGAACAGAAATTTTATTATTTTAAGTACAACCACCCGAAGCAATGGTCTTATTAACCTAAGATCAAACAGTTAACCCTGAGACCTCGAAACCAGCATTTAATGGAAGGAGAGACTGAAGATCTTTGTTGCCGTTGCTGAAATAATGACCTGAGCTGAAATTAACCTGTAAATTATACCGTTAGAAGAGAAATACATATATTACTGCATCAATAGAACTTAGAGGTGGGGCATCGTAGTCCTTTAAACTGTGAGAATAATAAGAAAAGAGTCAAATAATTGGAAAGAAAACACTAGATTTCATGTCCTGACATGATGAAGTTGACCTTTTTCCTATTGTTAATCAATCGTGCCGTTTATGTTATTGACAAAAGTCCTTTTCTTCTAAAGATAAGAAAGTTACCCAACTGTTCATACCATTGTGGGTAACAACACTATAGGTATGTACTTGGTGCGGGACCTCACATCGGTTGGAGAGGAGAACGAAGCATTCTTTTTAAAGGTGTAAAAACCTCTCCCTAGTTGAGGGGAAGCCCGAATGGAAAAACTCAAAGAGGAATATATGCTAGCAGTGAGTTTATGCTTAGACTTGAATAGTAAGAAGATGAATTTTTATGCGTGAAAATCATATTTAGGACTCAGAAGTAACCATTGAGAAGGGAAAAAGTTGGTGATTTGAAGAAATTTTCAGTGTCCGAGTTAAGAGTAAAACAAAAAAAAAACATCTTTCTAGGACAATTACCCTCATAAAGTTTTATGACCCTTGAGCTACTATACCAGACAGAACCTGATTCTGATAAAATGAAAAGGTGCAGTTACAAATTATAAAGGACACTAAGGTTTTCGAACACAAAAAACGTAAACGAATAAGAATATAGAAGTATTTATGAAATTTCTGCATGAAGAACATGGTGAACACTATAGAACAATAAATTTTATTGGGACTTGAGACTTAGAAACTTACATCGCTTGCATTTACACCCGCATATATGATTTTCACAAGAACTTGATCTGGTTTGATTGGCAATCTCAATGGTGCATGCACCATGCTAGTTGCTTCACGAAAGTTGTGGCTCAGAGTATGAACAACTCTAGAAGAATAGTTAAATGAAACTGTAAGCAATTACTGACCAGTGATGAACGACTAAATCAACGTAGAACATGGTAGCCAACATGCTACAACAAGGACATGGCATGGCACATAATAGAATCTTTGGGTAAACAGAAGAAATTTCCAAATGAGTTAAAATCCAGATAATCTCAAACAAAAATAGGGCGAAAGCATAGAACATTACGCACACTTTGTCAAAACTTTGGGGAATTTCAATTTTCTGAAAAAATGTTGATGAAGAATTTTTTCTTAAACTCGAGGAAGGAAGCAAGTATTTTGCTTCTTCTGCAGGGGTGGGCGAGTACTCCATCCCTCTGCGGTTTGAAATCCATAGGCATGAACCAGCTTTGCTCTCATCAGTGATTAGTTCAAAAGTACCTAAAAAGCAGGAAGCATGGGATATCAGAATCTGACTTTGGAAAAGGAAAGGATAGCAGTTTTGATTTGCAACATCTTTCTGACATGTTTAACTAGATACACAATGATATCAATTACAAGTGTCTTCTTGGAAAACAAATGAATGCCCATTTTTATAATATGCAATTTAAAAGCATCACCAAAGTATCTGATACAATAATCCCTGGTGGTCTTTCTCATAGAAGGGCAATTTGGTCTACCATGAAAAAATGTCGGTGAAACGGCATTGAAGAACGAACCTTCAATCACCATTTCCATGGGAACATAACCTCCTATCCGTTCTGTGAACTTTTCACCTACTGCTGTCGCGGCCAGCTCTGTTTTTACAAACTGCAAAGAAAGTTTAGACAACACATGTACGTAAATGTACTTGTCGATGAATAAAGAGCGCAAATGGAATAAAATGTTAATATGCAGACTAAGAATGTAACAGCCCAAGCCCACCGCTAACAGATATTATTTGCTTTGGTCTGTTACGTATCACAGGCAGTCTCACGGTTTTAAAATGCGTCTGTTAGGGAGAGGTTTCCACTCCCTTATAAGAAATGCATTGTTCCCCTCTCCAACCAATGTGGGATCCCACAATCAACCCCCTTGGGGTCCCAGCGTCCTCGCTGACACACCGCCCGGTGTCTAGCTCTGATACCATTTGTAACAACCCAAACCCACCGCTAACAGATACTATCTTCTTTAGCCCGTTACATATCACCGTCAACCTACCAGTTTTAAAACGCGTTTGTTAGGGAGAGGTTTCCACACCCTTATAAAGAATGCATTGTTACTCTGTCCAACCGATGTGAGATCTCACAAAGAACCATGCGCAAAAAATGACACATGGGACCTCAAAGTTGACTATGTTACAGAAGCTAAACATGGATTGAAATTGCAAAAGAATTTGGATAAAACACAAGGAAGCCAGAGGCAGAGAACCAAGGGATAATACTCTACTAATTGAAAATCATTTCACGTAAGAAAAAATGTAGTAGGAAACTATACCATGTAATACGAAGAAGAAAGTTGAACGTAAAATAATTGTCACGAGACCAAGTTAACCGAAATAATTGAACGTAAAATAATTGTCTCATACATCTTGTGCATGTCCATTTTAGCAATCATATATTTGATGATTGAGGATGTTCACTCTCTTCAAACTTATCTTCTTACCTCAGGACAAAGCACATTCACCCGAATCCCCTTGCGTTTGTAAGGTAAGAGTGCTCTAGTAAACATAACAACACCACCTGGAAATAAACGTAAATGTGAAGTCGGGTTTGCAATTGTCTTCATTCATTAAAACATAACTAATCATAAACGGTTTTGAAAAACACGTCGCATAAGATATGAGAGATAAAACACCTTTGGATGCAGTATATGCTGGATCTGAGGAAAGTGGATAAAGACCAGCAGCAGAACCAAGGTTGACAATTACACCAGGCTTTTTCATTGATTCCATGGCTTTTATCTGATCCACACAGCAGCGAGGGGCAACAAAAAATTAGTTATTACTGAATGAGCTCTAAAAGAAGTTGAATAGGACATCTATTTTGGGACCAACTATGCACGGTTCCATAAAGAACCTATCCAGTTATATTTCGAACCATAGGCTCATTTGGGAAGCGGGGAGAGGTATTTGTATGTAAATGAAGAATAAAATCATAAGTTTCACAAAAGATTTAAATGGAAAAGTGTAGAAAAATCAAATTATCAAGGACTATAATCAATCTCTATGAAATTTCTTGTAACGACTTAGCCCACTACTAGTAGATATTGTCCTCTTTGGACTTTTCCCTTTCGGACTTCCCCTCGAGGTTTTTAAAATGCGTCTCCTAGGGAGAGGTTTCCACACCCTTATAAAGAATACTTCGTTCTCCTCTCCAACCAATGTGGGATCTCACAATCCATCATCCTTCAAGGCCCAACGTCCTCACTGTTGGGCGGTTACATTTCTATCCTTACCAAGACAATTCATAGGATTAAGGATGCACACAGTAACTATGAGACTGGATTGTTCTGAGTTCAAAATGTCACTTGAAGATTAATTGGTTGAAATGATCATAGTTCCAACCAAAGATGGAAAACATGATGTGATTGTGCAGATGGCATGGAGTTGAAGGGTATGGTGAATTTATTAAAGACCCAGGCATCCTACGAGTAGAATTTCCTATCCCCCGAGCAACTCAAATAGAAAGACTAATCGAGTTTCCTATTCCACCACGCAAGTCAAATATCAAAACCAAATTTGGGCTCGACAAAGTAAGAACACTTCATAGTAAAAGTATGGTGAAAAATCAAGTCCCATATCAAAACATACCGCAAGTTGAGTGCATGCCATGACAGAAATGAGGTTGACATCAATGATACGTCTCCATGTTTGAGCACCATCAGTTTGATCATTATGAAATACTATTTTGCTGGCAATTCCAGCACTGTTTATGCATATATCTAATCCTCCATATGTTGCTAAATGCTTTCCGAAAGCCTTCTGTAGGTCATCTGCTCACCAGCCAAATTGAGTGAAGATTATGTAAACGGTACTCTAATAAATGAATTTGTAGAGGATATGAAACCAACCCAAAACAAAGTAGTCTACACTTTGGTTTGCTGTGACCAAGATAAAATTAAATTATGCAAATGCATAAAATTGGTGTAGCTTCCACTTTTTCTACTTTTTTCCATGCTAACCCTTGTCATAAAGGCAAGTTACAAATAACTCCTATTACCGACATGAATTTCAAAAACGTCTCTCAACCGTGAAAGATAACATTTTGGGTGCAATTGCCAACATGATAAGAAAGAGTATATCAAATAGAAGCAAGAAATTCAGCAGCGTCCATCCTACTATACCACAGCTGAAATTTGTCCTTAAAGGCTCTTCGGTTGGTAAAAGTTCGAAAACGTTATCATTGGAGTTCTCTTCCTTAGTTTTTTCAATAAACTAAAATAATTAGCGCTATACCCCTTACATGTGAGATTCCACATCAGTTGGGAAGGAGAACGAAACATTTTTTACAAGGGTGTGGAAGCCTATCCCTAGCAAACGCGTTCTAAAAATCTTGAAGGGAAAGCCTAAAGAGGACAATATCTGTAGCGGTGAGCTTGAATTGTTACATTACAAGTATGAATGACGTCAAGCTACGAGCTGAATTAAAGACTTGAAATTATACAAAGGAAGAAATAGATCAAAACTTTTGGAGAAATTACAAGGGCCATCAAATCAAAGCAAAAACCATGTAACTTTTATGGCAGTGAACACCCATTCATAGCATTAAACTCCAATGTGAACATAAAAAAAAACTTATGGCCATTGTATCTTCTTTTAAATTGGAGAAATTTTTTGTAATTCCCCTATTGATGGTGGGATTCGTCGATGAAATCCGTTCCTTTTCAGAAAATCACGTAATTTAGCAGCAATCCAAAGACGATAATGACGTTATTAACTTAAACGTTACAAGAGAGTCGCAATAAGAAGGTAAAACCACCCAAGAAAATTTATAGGATAAGAGATTCCACTTACTTCTGTTGGTAACATCACATCTTATGAACATTGCAGGAGGAATGTCTAACTTAGGGTGAAGATTGGCATTCTTTTGTTGGATAATGGATGCAACTTCCTGCCCCTTTTCTTCAGAAAGATCAACCACAGTCACAAATACTCCCTTCTCTCCAAGAGCTAAGCAGAGAGCTCTCCCTAAACAGGAAAAACCACCAAACAGATCACACAACGAGCATGCCATTAGTACCAAATCTTAGAACATCATACGAAAAGCAGCACTGCATTCAAGATAAATGAATTGATTTTTGTTTCATAATTAGCATTAACCATCATCCAAACATGTCGAAGAAGAACGACATGAATCCACATAATCAAATCCAACTAATCCACGATCCAGTTAATAAATCTAATTCATTCAAAAAACCAAAAACGGGTCGTTGACGATTAAATCGAATGAATCGAGGTTAAGGCAATCAGATTCATTCAACCAGGAGCGCAAACAATAGGAAGAGCAGAGTTCGACGAGATTAACGAAATTACCGATTCCAGAAGCTCCGCCGGTGACAAAAGCCGATAATGCAGGTTTCAACTCCATACTCTAGTCAGCGATGGCGGAATAACAGGTGAGAGCAACTAGATGAAGCAATCAAAAGCGGTAGCAGCCAATACCCATCTCTCTAAAGCTATATAGCACGTATTTCCGTGCACGGATTAGGAATGATTAATTGAACGGTAGGCGACGGATGAACACAGCTGTAGACTGGCCGATCGTAGGATGAGATTAGAGGATTTGACCGACTGAGATTGTGAATATCGAAGAGAAATTGGATAGCGAAAGGAAGTTGTTGATTAATCAATCGCCATGTGTATGAACCCATAATGGAAACAGAGTAAATGGCTCTCTTCACAATATTAGAGGAAGAAATAGATGTCTCGTCAAATGGTTTGAATCCCAACCATTATAATTTTTTATTCTAAAAATAATTAATTAAATAATATAAAAAAAAAATTAGTGTATGTGTATGTATGTATGTATGTATGTATGTATGTATGTATGTATATATTAATTTAGTCTATATTTTCTTCTTTAATATCGCCTAGTTCCTTCTGAGATAAGAAACAATTATGATTTTTTTCGTCATAAAAATCGAATCTTTCTTTCCCCCAAAAATACTCGTTTTCTTCGTCTTCAGGTCAGGTACGCACCTTACTCTTCATCTCTCTCTCTCTGTATCTGACTCTTTACTGTTCCTCGTAAATTTTCTTTAATTCGTTCATCGAACTGATCTTTTGCATCTTTTAAATTACTTTCAGATCTCTTGTGGACTCTGATTTCTGTCTTTAGGATCTTAGTTGAGTTAGGGCGGCTGACGCTGAGGATCTCTTGTACCATTACCAGGTACATGTTTATTGGGGTTTTGTGCTAATTGTGTAGTTTAATCGAAATTATCTGTTGAATTTGGTTGGATTCGATCTTTTAAGGTTATAGTCGTATTCAATTTGATGGTCGGTTTGTGTGTAATTGGTAAATCATCCGGTAGGTTGTCGATGAACTGGGTTTCATTTGTTCTTTCGTTTTCTTTTTCCTCATTAAAGCTGTTTTGATGGGCCGCCTTTGGGAATGTTGTTGTTTTTGGTTTTTCGTCTTTGAGAATCTGCGTCCCCCAAAACCCTTCTACTTCTACCCTGAAATTCCTTCAATTTTGACATGGCTAGTGTACAGATTAATTTTTGTTGATCAAAATGTTGAGCTGCAATGAATTTACTATAGTTTGATGGGGACTAAACTGTAGCCATTTCCTCCGAGTCTTCACTATTTGCGTTTGTTGACTGTTTTCTGAGGAGATCAACAAGATGAAAACTGAGTGGCAATGAAGTGGCTCTATGATTTGGGCTTCAGATTATTAGGTAGGAATCTTGAGAATAGTCCGATGTAATTCACCAAGTATTCAACATAAAATGATAGGTAGATTCTAACCAAATTTCTCAGGCAGTTGCAAGTATACAAGAAAAGGCCGATCTCTCGGCACCAAGTATAAATTATCGATGTCAATATGGATATTGGGATGTCGATCTTATGACTATACCGATAAAATATCAATATCGATGGATATTTTCATCCTAAAGGATGTTTCTAATTTCAATGCAATGTACAATTTCTCCCCATTTTGTGCTCTACATGATGTCAAAACCCTAAAGGATGTTTGACTTATGGTTTAATAGATTGGATCTTTAAAATCCGGGGTTCGGAAGGCTGAGACTATGCCATTTGTGTTTGGATTGGGCAAATGAATGGTTAATGGAAACTTGGGTTTGTGTTACTTATATATAGTTTGGTTTTTGAGTTTATTATTTGGAAAAATTAGAATGTTGTATAATATGTGCGTATAACGTATCTATAACCTTATATAAGCAAATCCATGTACTTTGGGTACTTATGTTGCCAATCCTCGTACCAGTTTAATTCATATGTTCAGGATAGCTCTGATTCTGTGACTGTGACTTTGAATTTCAATTTTGTGGGGTAATTGTTCTCTTGGAATTTGTCCTAAACTTCCTAGCCCAAGAAAAGTAAAGGGAAAAGAATGACTTCTAGTTTGGCACTTTTTGTGAACATCGGTTGGAGAGGGAAATGAAGCATTCCTTATAAGGGTGTGGAGGCCTCTCCCTAGTAGATGCGTTTTAAAACCGTGAGGTTGACGGTGATACGTAACGGGCCAAAGCGAACAATATTTGTTAGCGGTGAGCCTGGGCCATTACAAATGGTATCAAAACCAGACACTGGGTGGTGTGGCAACAAGGACGCTGGCCTCCAAGGGGGGTGGATTGTGAGATCGCACATTGGTTGGAGAGGGGAACGAAGCATTCCTTAAAAGGGTGTGGAAACCTCTCCTTCCCTAGTAGATGTGTTTTAAAACCGTGAGGCTGATGACGATACGTAACGGGCCAAAGCGGACAATATCTATTAGCAATGGGCTTGGGCTGTTACACTTTTTGTTGTTGCTTTTTCATCTGATGCATTATATTTAGTCAACCTTCTTAGGAACATTTGATTCTGAATGGAAATAATAAGCTGGCTTGTTTAAATGTGTCAAAACAGTGTTTGCATAATCTGAATCGTTGGAGCAAAGGAAAATCCTAATGGAAGACTTAAACAGAAATGTTTCTCAGACTCCTCCAAGTCCACAAACCCGAAGTTCTCCAGACGGTCCTGTGGCCATCCTGTGGGATATTGAGAATTGCCCTGTTCCCAGTGACGTACGCCCTGAAGACGTAGCTGGTAATATAAGAATGGCTTTGCGAGTGCACCCTGTAATAAAAGGTGCAGTTATGATGTTTTCTGCATATGGGGATTTCAATGCATTTCCTAGACGATTGAGAGAAGGGTGCCAGAGAACAGGGGTCAAACTAATTGACGTGCCAAATGGTCGGAAAGATGCTGCCGACAAGGCTATACTGGTCGATATGTTTCTCTTTGCCCTAGACAACCCTCCCCCGTCTTCCATTATGCTCATATCTGGAGATGTCGATTTTGCTCCGGCACTTCACATTTTAGGTCAACGTGGATATAATGTGATACTTGTCATCCCTTCTGGTGTGGGTGTTTCATCTGCCCTTTGCAATGCTGGAAAGTTTGTTTGGGACTGGCCCACCGTGGCTCGTGGTGAAGGCTTTGCTCTTGCCCCCAAGGTGTTGACTTCCCGTGGAGCAGCAGCCAAAATTTCTGGATATCTTAAGGGATGCCATATCAACGATAACCCGGATTGCCAAAACGAAGACGAAGCTATTATCTTTAGAGGGATCTCCCAGAACTATTACAACTCAAGGGATTTTTCAGTAGTAACTCAGTCTTTATCTTCATCTTTGAGGTCACAGAGTCTCCCATCTGGTTTGAATGAGGTTCCAACAGGTCCTGTTTCGTGTGGAGATCAGAACGAGTCGGCTTGGTGGCTGCAGACAGGAGACTTAAATGTTCTGAAGGGACAGTTGGTTAAGATGCTAGAACTTTCTGGAGGGTGCTTACCCGTAACTAAAGTTCGAGCCGAGTACCAGAGAGTCTTTGGAAGGCCATTGTACACTTCTGAGCCAGGTATCAAGCTTGTGAATCTTTTTAAGAAGATGGGAGACACCCTCGTTGTAGAGGGTAAAGGCAACAAGAAATCTATCTACCTTCGAAACTCCAGATCATGCCCGAGCGCCCCACCGTTGATATTATCAAGGAAAGAAAACAAGAAAGGCAAGGGTACATTGGAAGAAACTGTCGACATTGCTCCAGGCATAGGCTCATCGGACGAATACTCGGATGAAGAAAGAGTAGTCCTCGAAGAACACGATGTGAAGAAGGGTGTAGGAAAACCCAACCAAAATAACAACGAACATTGTCTTGATCAATTCAAACATGAGCTGCAGGAGATTCTCGTAAGCTATTCTTGTAGAATCTTCTTGGGATGTTTCGAGGAAATATACCTACAGCGATACAAGAAATCCTTGGACTTCCAAAGCCTCGGTGTTCCCGGATTGGAGGAGTTGTTTGACAAAGTAAGCGACGTCGTTGTCTTGCACGAAGATCCAGCAAGCAAGCGAAAGTTCCTGGCTGCATTCGGTAGCTAAAAGGATGATGAAGATGATCAGGTAGCTAACCTTTGTATCCATTCTATGTCATTAACTTGTGAAATAGCTCCAAACAAGAAAGAGAGGCTGGCTGTGTTGTGTTTTTTTCTTCTTCCTCCAGCATGTTCTTTGTCCTTTTTAACGTATGGAAACTGTCACTGTCAGTGTCTGTAACAGATGAAGATCTTTGTCTGAGTCTCTGTAAATTACTCTCTGCTCAAGTTTTAAGATTAATGTAAGGTTTTTTCTTTCCATTTCAGAACCTTCTCTCCATTCAACGACCATTTCCAAATGAAATAAAACATACTTTTTAGTTTGTATGCTAAATATATCCTTCCGTGTTTTATGTTCTTTAATTACCCAATCTTTTTGCTAATTTTCCATCTGGTCTCTATTTTTAAATTTTCTAATTTTAGGGTCGGAACACACTCAAAAGGGTCCTTTGAGTGAAACACTCCGAAACATAAACACACTCAAAAGGAAACTGAGAAAACATAAGTGAATTGCTCTCTTAGTGATAAATGAAAATGACCAAAGTGCCCTCACAATACCCGTCACAAATCTTTGTCATCGTTTTTCTAAAATTGGGACGTTACATATGGTATTAGCAAATCTCTTTCGATGTGGGTTGGGGATGAACGAAGGCGAAAATTGATAGCATAAGACGCATGAGTAAAGGGGTATATAAATGAACTAAGACCATGTTCAAAGGAGAGAAATTTTGAGAAAATGATGATTAAGAAAAACTTTATTTCAGTGGCTTGTCTATAGAATATCGAACCTTCATATTTTAGTAGCTTGATCTTAGAAATTTGAAAATTAAGCTCGTTGAATGTTCTCTTAAGAAACATGTGAGTGATGATAAAATATACCAAAATGATATATGGGGTCGATGGTTTCAAATCTTGTAAACAACCACCATAAACCAACTCTCAATCTTCAGCTCAGAACTGTAGTTCGATATTTACGCGTTTGATTTTGACGATGCATGAATTGAAAAGGGGCGAGTAAAGATTCAAAGCACTTTGTTTATGTTATTTATTTATTATTATTCTGACTTTTTTGAGTTGGAAGTTTAATGTGTTTTGCATGTGTTCATTTCATCCAATGTTCTTCAAAAATATTCCAACTAAATCCTAAGCAACGCACAAATAAAGAAAGAAAACAAAAAANAAAAAAAAAAAAAAAAAAAACAAAAAAAAAAAAAAAAAAAAAAAAAAAAAAAAAAAAAAAAAAAAAAAAAAAAAAAAAAAAAAAAAAAAAAAAAAAAACACGTAATGCACGGTGTCCGTCCGAT